TTTTTCGCATGACTGTAAAACAAATTAATAACAATTAAAATTATAAATAAATTATTCTATAAAATTAGTAATCTTATTAAATTTATTAATTTATTGATTACAGTAGGAGGAATTATGGGGATGCTCGAAAAAGGAGGATGCTTGTAACTATTGGTTAATTTCAATTGAAAAATAATAAAATTACTATTAATTTTAATATAAATTATTAATCAAAAAATTAATAAAATGAAAAACCAAAATAAATTTATATCAATTATTTATTATTAATAATATTAAATTAATTAATATTTAGATTAGCATCCCACTTTTTCCGTTAACTATACATTAATTATCAATATAGCAATAAAAGTTAGAGTCAGTGCTATAAACCTTGTACACCGCCAACATTGTACACCCCTCTTTTCCATATTTTTCTATCTAATAATTCGGGAAAATTACTTAATTTCCCAAAAATACGTTTTTATTATTTGCTGCTATTTTTGCTTATATCCCAATTTACCAGAAAAATCCGAAAAATGAGTCTAAGATTCATAAAGTGTACAACGTTTAGAAAATAACTCTAATATCAATAAAATAAACTATTTTTTGATATTATTATTAATTTTGTTTTCTTAAAAAAATAGTAAAATAAATTATAAAAATAACAAGTGAGAATTTTTCAAAAAAAAATTAAAATAAAATTAATTATCAAATTTTTTTATCCAATTCTTTTTCAGTAGAATAGAATTCTGTGGATAAATAATAAATCGAACAGAACTATAAATTCAATGTTCCCTTCGAATTTTTCTTTTGGAGACTCATTTTCACAACCTTCTCCAACAGAACAACCAAACGAATTTAACTTTAATGGGTTCGACAACTCATTTAATTTCAGTCAACAAACGCCCCAACAACAATCACAACCTCAAGAACAATTGGTTCAACAGCCTCAAAACAAAACAACTGAAGAAAAGAAAATTAAAAAAGTATTTATGCCTCCACCAATGACTAAAAAAGATTCAAAAATCGAAAAACCAGTGTATCAAAAACCACTCCCATCAACTCAAAACCAATTGGAACAAACAACTCAACCACAACTGCAACAAAAAACAGTGGAAACTCAACGTATTAATGTAGATAAGCCAATGACACAATCGACTCCTATTAATCAAACACAAAATACTCCACAGAAAGCTTCAATAACGCCTCAACCAAAGTCTGCATCAAAATATGATTTGCTCATTCAAATTGCTTCAGAAACACTCACACCACAAACCCCGCCACAGCAACAACAAAGCATCCCTCAAATTTCTCAACCCGTTCAACCCACCCCTCCTCAACAACAAACTCAACAACAAAATGTTCAAAACAATGAGGCGCAACACTCGCAACTCTTACAAAACGCCCCTCATCCACAACAAGAAGACTTTTCCTTTGACAAACCATTTGCGTTTGAAAGTACACCAACACCGTCGGATACCCAAATAGGGTTTGATACCTCTTTTGCGTTCAAAAACGACTTTGGCAATGACTCATTTGACTTTGGGGGGTCGCCAAAGAAATCTCCGCAACTTGTCGACCCACACAAGAACACTATTAATAGTCCAAACGAAGTGACAAGTGAGGGTCCAAAGGTAGTTTCAATACAACAATCAGTTGAAGTTAAAGAGATACAAGAAGTCCCCAAAGAAGCTGTACAGGAACAAACAAGCGAAGTGCACCACGAAGTTGCTGTTACAACACAGCCGGAACCAATTCAACAGGATCTCTTTGGGTTTGAGGAGGACCCCAAAGACGCGGAGTGGAATACAACGATGGAGCGCAATGAAAGTTTGAGGAGCCAATTAATGGAACAGGAGAATAAAACGAGTGCACTCCAATCGTTTGACAAACTCGAGGAAATGAAAAAAGAGAACGAAGACCTTGAAAAAAAGGTGAAGGAACTGACTGAGGAAAATGCAAAGGAAGAACTTCGATTGAAAGAAAAAGAAGAGGAACTTCTGCAGAAGAAAAATCAGTTACTTGAGAGGTTGGATGAGCTGAAGAAACAGAAAAGTGAGTTAAGTCAACGAAGAGCAAGTCTCCAAACTCATATGACTGAGAATGCGGTGTTAGAAGAGACACTTCGAAGTGTTGAAGATGGTAAATTGGGTTTGAAGGAAGTGGTGAATGAACAAAAAGAGAATATAGTTAAAATTAATAGTTTTGAAGAAACTATTAAAACATTGCTGGAAACAGAATCATTCAAACTTGGACCTTTCTTGGACGAGTCACTCAAGATGAAAGAGGAAAGCTTCGACATGATTGAGAACGAGTTTATGGAAGTCCCATTTATTGATATTTGATGTGTTTGTGTTAGAATGGCACTACACCAATGTATAATAAAATTATTAGTTAAATACTATTAAACTGTAATTCAAATGAAGGTAAATATAATACTATTTTTGTTATTAATAAATAGTTTTTATTTTTAAACTTGTATCTGTCGAAACTATTCAAAAAATAGTTAGAAAATTATCCCGAAATAGTATTGGAGCACGTGCCTCTTTTTCGGTGTCTCTTGATTGATAGTAATAAGAAAAAAAGCAAAACACAAAATTAAGAATAGTAATATTTTTATTGAATGAACTAAGACGAATAGATTATCATAAGCAATATAAAAAATAACTTTGTTTTTAATGATAAAAAAATGAGCGCTTCCTCTGTTCTCCTAGATATGATTTACTACTAATAATGGGCACACACTGTGGGATATATCAGGAAAATGTTGGAAAGAATACTCCATTACAACAGGAGACAACGCGTTTTGCTTCTTTTTTTTGAATTAGTGTTGAGTGGCTCTTTGGACTATATATAGTGAGAGAGCCAAGTCTCTCTTTAAAAGACGAACCACTACAAAAATCAAATCCACACGATGCAAGCCGGTCTTGAGCAATCAGTGAATATAATCTATGACAAGTTCATCTCGAAGAAAGACGTCAAAGGGAAGTATGTATGCCCATATATGGGGTGTGGCAAAACTTACTTATCCGAAGAGTCATTAACTCGCCATTTAAATCGACACTCCACAGTGAAAGAACATGTCTGTGACGTCTGTGGAAAGGCTTTTTTGAGGAAGTCTGAGTGCGAAATCCACATGAGAATCCACACGGGAGTCAAACCATTTTCTTGTTCCCTTTGTAACAAAAAGTTTGCTCGAGCGACGGATTTGAAAATTCATATGGTCTACCACTCCGATGAGAAACCATTCAAATGCCCTTTCCCGGGGTGTACACTTAGTTTTAAAAGGAAAAGCGACGCTAAAAAACACCTCAGAATTCATGTCAAGAAAACTCAATGCAATTTCCAATCACTTATCACACAAGTAGTGCCTTCTGCGTTCTCCCCTATCCCAAAGAGGTTTATTAAAGTCGAGAAAACAGAGTTAGTATATGATTGTAATTAATTGTTGTAAATGTTTGTGGTTGGAACGTTCATTACTATCCATTTCATTTGTATTAGAACTTGTAACAACACTGGATTCTCATCTTATTTAATTTGTGGGTTATTTTAATTATTTATTCTCAAAATTTGGTGAACTAATTCTTTGGAATAATTAACATTTTAAAGTGGTGTTATTGTGTGTTATCTTTTACATTTCTTATTATCGGTAGTGTACTGAATTGTTGTAATAATGAACGGGTATTAAAGCAAGAATCTATTATATTAAAAATAAAAAGGGGACAAGCGGCATTTATTTACTTAATGTAATCTCTTTAGTCCACTTTATTTGCTCGTGTGGATCTTATATCGCTATTCGTTGGGTATAACAGAAGATCCACTTTAAAAATACAATTCGCCATTTTTAACCAAATTACGAAAAATATTGGTTTGAAATTAATCGCCTTGTTATTTTATTAAATTATTATAAATCAACTAAAATATTTAATTAAATAACACAATAACAATTTAATAATAAAAATAATTATAAAATTATAGTAGATATGTCAAATAGCTTTTTATTATAAAATAACCATATACAAGAACTAGATAGTACTTGTACTATATCAATGAAATAATATAATAATATTATTATTAATATAAAAATAATTAATATAATTATTGTTTCTATAATAACCAATTATTATTATTACTAATAGTTACTTACTAATAAATTAATTATAATTGTTCTAATTTTTGGACGACTTCTTTCATTTGACATCTATTTTCATATTTACAGGTCAGACTTAAAAAGACTTTGTAATCGATGTCTGAGACATTAATTGGCTTTGGTAAGACACTACCAGCTGCTACGAAGTCTGCTATGTCCCACGCCATTTTGAACTTCTCTTTAGGGAAAGCGTCTTCCCACTTCATTATTTCCAAGAAAGTAATTCCAAACGAATACACGTCAGCCAAATCAGTGTAATGTTTTCTATTTAAGATCTCAGGCGCCATATACTTTGGTGTTCCAACCCCCTTTGTGAATGTCATATTAGATATCAACATATTGACGTTTCTTGAAGTTCCAAAATCAGTCAATTTGGCGTTGACAATAACGAGCTCTTTTCAAGTGTAAACACCAAGATGTTATCTGGTTTAATATCTCTATGTAAAATGCCATTTGTATGTAAATAAAAAAGTCCTTTTGCGGAATCTATACAAATTTTCAATCGAATTTGATGGTCAAATTCTTCACTCTTTCGGTGTTCAATACTACTCTGTAAACTCCCTAAAGGCGCATATTCAGTCACTAAACACATTCGTGTTGGGATGAATACAGCTCCATAGAAATGAATGATATACTCACTTTTGAACTTGTCCATCATCTTCACTTCCTTCTCAAAGTCGTTTTCAATATCTTCATTTCTCTCCCCATTTGAATGCAACTTGAGCTTCTTAATTGCAACGGAATTGCCACGAAAGACACCTTTAAACACTACACCAAAGGATCCCTCCCCTATTTTCTTCACTTCATAAATTTCATCGACATCAAGTTTACTTGTTATTTCAGTCTCAAATTCAATGGGAATCATTTCTACACTTGTTTTACCCTTTTTCATATCAATTAGACTAAACTTCATATCATCTCGTACTTTGCATGAACATATGGGCGTCACAAAAATTTCAATTTCAGCGGCTTCGCCCTTCTTTAATATAAATTCCTGGGGGTCGTAACGAGTTGCAAACTTCTGTAAATCATTTTCAACAGACATAAAAGTGATTTTGATTGAATGTTGACTGTTGTTGCCAATACACACTAATTCGCGTGATTCCACATCAACGGGAATTTCGTCTTCAAAACTTATTTGTTGTTTACTAAATAAAATAGAAGTGTTAGACGGCAGCACGACCCATTGGATATTGGATGTCTCCATTTTAAATATCGTCGTCTTCTTTTGCATAGAAACCTCGTCTGTGTATTTCTTAAGTCGCCGCACCACTAAAACGACTATAACTATCACTGAAACAATTGTAGTGATTTCAATACTTAACCCTGCTATTACTATAATTAAAATGATCCACCACACTGCAGACTCTTTACATTTATACGTCTGTGGATCTACTGCATACCAAAATGAACATTCTGAACATCGTGAATTCGCAGCTTTCGTACAGTGCTCAATTGAATTATATATGAGACATGTACTATTATCAGTAAGTACATAGTCTACAACACATGAATAACAATTTCCATTTATAGAGTCACATGTTTCACATTTGTCTGTTGTTGTGTTACACCAAACACATTCACCACTTCTAACATAGAATCCAGATGTACACGTACTACACCCATTATAATCAAACTTCTCACAATTATCAAGTCCTTGTTTCGAAGTGCAAGTCCCATTTGAATTGACATAATAAAGATCTTCACATTTGATGCAACTGTTGGAGGTGGAACACAATAAACACTGCGCTGGGCATTTGACACAAGCGGTGTCTTTTTGATAATACCCTTTATTACATACACCACATTGATTAAGGTTTAAAATCGGTTTAGCGCAGTTGGTTGTTGTAGAAGAGATACACCGACCGTCAACTAACATATACCCCTCAAAACAAGTCAGACAGTAATCTGCAATACAAGAAGAACACGTATCAGTACAACGGACACATATAAAGTCCGAAAGATAATACCCAAAATTACATGAAGTGCATATGCCAAAATTGTAAGTGTTACAATTTGTAATTGGTTCTTTTGTACATGTTGAAATTGATTCAAATGTGTGATAGTAATAATCTTTTTGACATGAAGTACAACCAAAAGAATCACAAGACAAACATCCTTCCGTGCATAGATCGCACTTACCTTTATTATTATATGAATTTGAATTACATGATACACAAAATGAGTTGAGAACAACTTCGCATTGAGTTTGATTATTTGTAACGCAATTATTGTTGATATCTAATACATAATTAGTAAGGCATTCATTGCATATAACAACGTCATTTATCATTTCACATGTTTTACAATTTACGTTAGAACATGGTATACACTCATCTGTCTTTTGGTCGAGATAAAAGCCAATGTTACATGATATGGTACTTATCAAATTTACTCTACTTGTATTATCCTTTATAACACATTGGTTATCACTATCCAATACACTGCTAATCAATGTGTTACAAACTAAACAATCGTTGCTTTGTGAATATACCATACAACTTGAGGAAACATCTGGTACACATTCAGAGTAATCATCACCATATTTCATAAAATCTTCACAGGTTACACAATAATTGTTAGTGAAAGATTTGCATGATTTTTCAAGTTCACAAATCCCATTCGAAGATATTTTATATCCATCGTGACAAATTAAACATGTTATATTACTCTGACAATAAAAACAATTAGACGAACATTGTAAACAAATTGAATTGGAAAGGAAATACCCCTTTTCGCATTCTATACATGTATTAGAAACACTAATAGCACAATTAGAAAGTGTAGTATTGCTATCAACACATTTACCAGTCGAGTCAAATTCGGTTAAACACTTTAAACACTCCACTATGTCTTTTTCATATTTTTTAATAACTATAGAACATGGCTTATCTTTTAAAATAGAAATTTTGTTATCATCGATTAAGAACCCAAATGTGTCACTTGTACTAGCCATTGTGCTGTTTTTTAATTCAATTTCCACATCTATGACTTGTTTTTCCAAACCAAAGAACGCAACTTGTTGCTTTTGTGTGTTTAGTACAAATGTTGTTTTGTTAACCAAGAAAAAGAAATTGAGTTCATCACTTGAGTGTGTTGTAACTATATACAAATTTGTATTAATTGAACCCTCTATAATAATTTCTAAATACATTTCGTTAGCTCCAATGATATATTCAGTTAAAGTATTAAGTTTAAGTATCGTATGAACTTCGTTTTTGGAATAACAAGGACATGAATAGTCGATTTCATTAAAGTCATTGTAATAGACATTTTTTCCATCAACATTCACTTCTTTTGGTGAACATATTTTAGGTGAGAGTTGAAATGAATCACATGGAACATTTTGTTTGTTACCCAAATAAATGGCTTGTTTGTCACACGCATAATTTTCATCAACAGACTCTTCAAATACAACTTTTCGATTTTTAGTTAAACAGAAAACAAAGTAATTTAGTGGTTGTGTATCATTCATAAATGGAAGTAATGGTAACTTACCAATATTCAATGTAGACTCTGAAGCGTCTATATCCAAAAATGGAGTGTTATAAATATCTAATCCATTATCAATCACGTCTATTTGTATTTTTGAAACAGTGCTTGGTACCAGCAAATTTCTTTTTAATTCGACGTGATTCAGATTCAACTCCACTATTGGTTCGAAGAGAACAAGTTGTAACGCTTTTAAGTTAAATTTAATTGTGTTGTTCAAATTTACAATAAAAAATGAACCCGATATATTAATTGATGTGTTTTGACTCACTTCCAAAGTATTCACTCGTAAATCTGTTGTCACCACGAAAGTACTATCCTTTCCAAGTGTTACTGAATCGAAATGCATATACTTATTATATTCTTGCTTTGCTATAATAGTAGTTTGAAAATTGGTATATATACTAAAAAGAGTAATATTACCAATTGTAGTGTCTATATGTAATTTATTATTACTTTCTCCTATTGTTCGTAAATTACTGACTTTCAGCTGTGAATTTGCATTACCAAAAGAAATTGATGTGTCTTCTGTTATTATTAAATTTTCACATCCTACAATCCCAGAGATTGTAACATTTTTAGTGAAGATACATGTTTTAGTAAAGACATTACCAACTATTTGGTACAAAGTTTTTCCTTGAAGAGTTACACTATTCCAATTTGATGGATTTATTGTTGTGTAATTTTCACTTTCAATCAACAGATTCAAAGCATTCTCTTTGTTCTTTGAAGAAGTCTCACAATCGACTTGATCATATGCATTGTCACGCCATACACAGTCACAATTAATTAAAGAATTAAGTTGTGCATACCTCGAGTTGACTCCATTTTCACACACTTTTTTGACAGTCTTAAATGTTTGTTCTTCGTTGGCATTTTGTCCTAAAAACAGAATAATATCACCCAAGCCATTACCAATAGTAATATCATCAATTATAAAACGTCCAAACGAATGAACTCCAATATACTTTTCTATTGTCAAATTTCCTTTTACTTCAAAAAATATTTCTTGTGTTACTTGGACTACATTAAGTGCAGTACCTGACAACTTTAATCCATCATTAAGTGTCATTGCAGTACTTAATTCAATAGTTAATGGTTGAGATTTTTCATTGATTGTTCTGTTTTGAATAACAAGTGTATTCCACACGTTTCCATATTGTGCATCAAATTTGACTGTTGTATAATTCTTAAAGATAGTTAGATCAAATAATGAGCTATTGTAATAACAGTCTGGATAATTAAACCGTGAGTCTTTGATTGAAGCCGATGTAATAGCACTTGGAATTGAACAACTACAGTCGTTTGTTGAAAGTGGTTGATGTTGTCCACACATTATATATCTTCTTGTATTATTTCTTCTACAAATATTATATAAGTCAATATAATTATCACTATTTAGAATTACATTATCGGTTGTGGAAAATGCATATGTACAACCGTCTTGTGAAGGATTTGCAATGTAAATGGTTCTTGAAAATGACGTTTTTACAAATTCAATGAACAAATAGGGACGCTGTGTTGATTTGTACGTAATTAAAACAGAAGCATTATTTACAGAAATTATAATAGCTGGTCTGTCATAGACATATATATTGTCTTGTACGTTGTATCCCACTTGTGTTCTGTTTAATGTGGCTACAAAGAGTTCGGGAGTGTTTTCAAGGTGAATATCCCAATACACTTTTGCTGTGTTAATACCAAACAAATATTTCATTGGACTGTCTTGTGCAAATTTGATAACTTTGTTATATGCATTTGAACCTGTGTCAAGCCCGTAATAATCTTTTTTATTACAACAATTAGCAAGAAATGTAAAAGTGTCCACACTCAATGCGTTATCTGTTTCAACATCAAAATCGAGATATTTAGGGCACGGTCCAATATATGTCCACTTGATATAATTCGTGGAATTCTCTACTATCCAACAAGAGTTACAGCGAGAGCATAACAAGAAAAAAATAATTGACACAAGTATCAACTTCATGTATTATTCTTTTTTCGGTTCCAAAATTGATCCATCCTTTAAATAAATATTTCGTTGAATTTCTGTATTTTATTTTACTATTTATTTATTAAAACGGTGAACTATATGATTCTGATTTTCAATCAAAAAGAACTAAAATTGTTCTTGTTATAATTATATTTATAGTTTATTAAATTATTTAAATTTTTTTTAAACCAATAAAAAAACAATTAAACTACTATTATTAATAGTAATATTTAATTACTTTAAAATAGTATAAAATATAGTATTTGTATAATAAAATTATTCCAAAAAAACATTGAATCTTGTCTTGTATTAATTTTCAGATTGAGTTATTCTTAAGCCTCAAAGTAATCAATAAAAAGAAACTGAATTAAAAAGACTCAAGAATGTCTCATACAAAACTCGAACCGATCTTTCTTGCTAACGTTTTACTTTACACGTGGAGTGAAGCCGTTTTATTAAACTTCAGAGTTGTCTCCAAAAGTTGTTTAGACGCTATTAAAATGGTACGACGTACCCCTCCAATCAAATATAACCAACTCAAGTTTTCAATAAAGTTCTTTCCTAACATTGAAACAGTCTCATCGACATACAGCGAAATTGAAAAAGATAAGAACAACACACTTCAAAACATCGCATTCGTCGATTTGTCTCCCGGATTTCTGGATGAGGCTCCCCCAACTATTTTACTTTCAAAACTGACTTCATTAAGAGTACATGACACCTATCCATTTGGAAGCCTTTCAAACTGTTTAAATTTGAAAAAGTTGATAGTCCAAGCTGAAGACACCAAAATCATGTTAAAAGACTTGAAAGGAGCACCCAACTTAGAAACTTTGATAATCAAGAAGCACTACATTACTGATAGTGAGGATGATGCCAAAGAAAAGTTATCAAATTTATCGACAAACATTTTATTAGTTCACACACTCATCCCCAAGCTGAAAGTAGTATTAGTCGACTTTGCCCCAACACAGAAGTTGGCACGAGCGAACTACGTGACTTATTTAAATATAACAAATGAACTACCAAAAGAAGTTAAAGGTGAAGTTAGAATCATACAGGAGCAGACGGTGTTTAACATTCACACGATGACTGCAGAGAAATTTACTGAGTGTTCTGTTATTGGATTAACTGATGTTAAAATCAGTTTGATTCAAAACTTCGCCAATTTCGTCGATTTTTCAAAAAATTCGTATCTTGAGAATTTAATATTCTTTGCTGACTCAAGTGTGCCTACCGCTTTTAAACTCCCAACTAGTTTGACTTCTCTTCAAATAGAAATGCCAGACAATTCGGTGTATTCCATTTCTAATGGAACCGTTTTGTCTAACTTAGAGAAACTCCATTTATTCGGACCACTCACATACTTCGAGTTGCCAACACCAAAGAAGACTGAGACTGATGAGAATGGGAAAGAAAAATTAGTTGAGACTTTTATGTTTATTGAAGACTTTAGTATCCACTCCGCTGCTAGAAATGTACACTTAAAACTGCCTGTTATTCAGGCGCAATTGTTTTCTTTAATTGGCGATTTCAAAATGAATAATTTGGACGTCCAATTCGCTGATAATTTTTTAATCACAGAACTTGAAGTTCCAAAATTGGAGAGTGTGACTTGCCATTGCGATCATATGGATGAAGCTATCGCATTTTGTCAATTCCACATTGAAGGCGTCGATTTTAAGACACTTGGATATATCGGGGAGACTAAGAGCGAAAAGAAAATCATCAAGTTGATTAAAGGGAAGTACGTCTTAACAAAATATGACACTCCAAAAGTCGCGCCAAATCACTCCGAAGACGCAAAGAAGAAGTTTTATATTGAAGAAAAGACGAAGAAAAAGATGAGTGAGTTTATCAACACTTCAAACAACAGTGAAACTAACTGTGAGAGTATTTTGAACTCGGCTCAAGAACAATTTGTGTATAAAAGAAGTGACGACGCAGAGCCTAAAATTACTTTAGAGGACTTTTTAGACTCTTTTGAAGATTATGATATCTCTCAGACTCAATGAGAGTCTTATTGCTTTAATTCTTCTTATTGATTGTGTGTTTCTTCTATTTACCTCTTCAAGACTCTACTTTAGAAGTGGAGTCTTGAATATTAAAAATATTACTATTATATTAAATATTATAGGAAAATACTATTAAAGTATAGAAATAGAGGAGATGCTCCATTGAGTGCAAAAAATCAATCCATTCCAATTTATTCACGTTAGTTTGCTGTTCTGAGGAACTTTAATCCGAACTCCCCGCCCACTGCAATCAAACTTGAAGTATCTGGGCAGTACGCCGAACACAACACGTCTCCATTTAATTTCTTCTGTTCAAGAACAAACGGCATATTAGATTTGCCGTCCCAAGTTCTTAAATAGCCGTCTTCTCCTCCTGTTGCAAATACGCCATTTGTGTATATAGAGACTGTAGTGCACGCTTTGGTATGTGCCGAGAAACTCCAGACTGGATTTGCCAATTTTCGCACATCTCTCAATTCGACTGTTCCATTCTCGAAAGTTGTCAAGAAGATGACCCCGTCATTATTCCACTTAAAGTCGTTCATATCATTTTCAACGAAATACGACCCAACAGTCGTCTTATTCATTGCATCTAATACAGTGATCGAAGCTTTATTCTCATCTTCAGAGAAACACCCCGTCGCTAACATCCCGATATTTGTCGGACACCAACTACACACCTGCGCTTTCCCAGTCAAGTGGTTCAATGTCATCTCAAGCTTCGAAGTCGCCAAGTCCCAAAATCGGATTTTGTGGTCTGAGCTTCCCGTGGCCAAAATGTTCTTCTGAAGGGAGTTCCACCCAACAGACATGATACTCTTTGTCTCATCAAAACTCACTTCATTTCTCTCGCCATTAGTAGTGATAATGTCTCCACTAAATGAAACAAGTGGATCGACATGATCAGTACAGTCCAAGTCCCATAACTCGAGTTGATCCCCTATACATGACACAGCTACTATATTCTGCGCCCCTTGAAGTGGACTTCCTATGAAGTCTAAATACTCCGTAGTGATCGGAATTTGTGGAAGCATCACATCGTCGTGGACAAAACTGTTGTCAAGCGACTTCTCCATGATCATCACATTCAACCCAAACTCACTCTCAACGGTGTTGAACACGCCAGTCAGTAAAATGGAGTCGGAGTCCGCAACTAAAAGTTCTTCTAATGAAGACTCGTCGTCATCTTCAGCCATATTTTTGTCGTAGTCGTCACTAAATTCTCGTCTAAAGTCGTCATCGTTACCTTCATTATCATAATCTGCCATATTATATTTGTCTGTAATGTAATCCCCTGTTAATACTCGTTTCGCTGGCTTATTAGAAGCGGACTTATCATCAATATCATCCTCGGCTATTCCCTTAGGATAGTTACTCAAGTGCCCGCGCGGAACCCAAACACATGTGCTGTGCATTTGCATTGCTTTATGCTTAGGGTTTTTGTCGAAAACTCAAAATCACAGCAATGGACTGTTTTTCTTATTTTTATTGATTTAGCTTTTTATTTCATTGTGGTAGCTTTTAATTCTTATTTTTTACTCGTTAATTAATAATCAAATTAACAGCTGTTTTTTATATTTTTTTAAATACATTTTTTTTATAATTAACAATTTAATAAATGAATTTAATCAATAGATTGGTTATAATGTATTATTATTTATTTATTTAACTCTAGCTTTTTGTTATTATAAAAATATAATTTAATTATAATTTTTATAAATTATATTTTTACAAAAACAATACAAAAATAGATAGTAATATATTAATAATATTACTATTTTTACTATAAAATAGTATTAGACTCAGATTGTGGGAACAAAAAGAGAAGCCCAAATTTATCGGCACAAAAATGGTTGTATTAACTTGAAGTCATAGTAATAATAATAACAAAGTAAACCCTATTTATCCGATAAAACTTATTCACTTTACAAAAAAGATACAAAATTAGTCAATTGTGAAGACACGTCACTTCAATGATTGTAAAAATATTATGAACTACTAATTAACCATTAATGGAATTACAAAAAACTAGACTGTTCATCATTCCTTAGAGTAGGGTTGTCAAACTTTATTTTGGCCAGATCACTGCCTTGACAACACCAACGGTCCTACATCGACACACAACACTGAACGTGGTCAACCAGTTCATAAGCCTTTACGTTCATCCATCGGACTTTCAATCGTTTGTCTTTCTAGCTGAATAATTGAAGCACTTCCGTTTCACAGTTTCTTCAATCCACACTTTGTTGTTTTAATTCGGCGTATTTGCCCTTTTAAGTTACAAAATAAGAAATGGACTGTGATATTACTTCTAAAACCTAATTATTTTCCCATTTTCAACCAAAAAACCCAAAGTGCAAAGAGCAAACATTTCCATCAAAACATTCTTTTTGAGTTTGAACTTTCAAACTCAAAAATTTCATGGCTCGGCCCTACCTCTATACGATCATCTCGGACGTCCACGGTTTTCATGAACGTCTTGAAATCCGCCCCTGCGACTTTCTGTTGATTTGCGGGGACGTGACGAATAGAGGCCGGTTTTCTTACGGGTCCTTCTATAACTGGGTTTTGCGGGTACCTGCAGACAACGTGATTTTTGTCTTTGGAAATCACGAGCGCGCAGTGAAGGAGAAGTTCTTTACGCTTTTTAAGAACATCCCAAAGGTGCATATTCTACAGAATGCGTTTGAGATAATAAAGGGCGTACAGTTTTTTGGGCTGGGCTTTCCGGTTCAGGAAAGAGTCGTCGAATGGGTCAACACAGTCGCAATTAAGGATATGCCAACAGTTTTACTCACTCATGAACCACCGTTTGGCATTTTGGATATGAAAATGGCAAATCCCAAGAAAGGTGAAGTTGGTTACAAACACGCCGGAAGCGAAGTTATAAAGGAATTGTTAAATACGCTACAACCACAATTGGCGTGCTTTGGACATTTGCACTATAGTTTTGGAGCAGTCAGGGTCGATGATACACTTTGTGTGAATGCGGCAGTCGTCAATGAATTTGGCAAAGTCGCAAACAAACCAGTGGAGGCGATTTCTTTCTCGAAGTTTTTCGTGTGTGCTCACTGGAATGACTTTGTCAAAGAGAAGTATGAACTTTGTTACTAAATTTTCCCGAAATTCTGCGTTCAAATGTTGTGTCGTTACGGGATTTTGCGAGATTGATTGATTTGGATTTGAAAACTCATTTTATTTTTTATATTTTTGAAATGTTATTATTTATAGATGTTTTAATAATATAATTGTTAATTTATTTGGTTTTGACATGACCAAGTGATAAAATTTTTTCTTCATTTTTAAAAAAATAATTTTTTGAAGTATTAAAAAATTGATTTTTTTCATATTTTTATTTTATTTTTTCGGGTTTTGTTTGCTCATTTTTGATTTTTGAATTTTTTTGTGAACATAAAAACATTATCCAAAAATCAAGTAAATAATAGTTTAAAAATAATGTTTTTTTTAAATAAAACAATTAATAAAAACAGTCGATCACATATAGTTGATTGTATTATTAAATAGTTAAAGATATTTAACCAACTTAGGTAAGGTAAATGTATTATTATAAAACTATATATATAATTTTTACCATAGGTAAAAATTAATGATGATATGGTAAATGTCTGATATTATTATTATTATTATGCAATGATAATAATATTATAATAATTATGATAATTATAATATACTTTATTATAATTACTTAACCAACTTATTTAAGTAAAAAAAGTACAAGAAGTTAGTTTCAGACAATAGTTTTTAGCTATTGAACCGTCATATTATCAAATTGGTGTCCTCAAATAAATTATTTCATTATGAAATGGTAGGGAAACAATAAGAGGTCATTTACAAAAAAATCAAAGCGAGTTGTCGAGTATGTGTGTATAAAGGAAATAACCGACTATTGTATGTGAAGCAAAGACGGCGACAAGGATCGCCATATAGAAGATCGCCTTTTTGGCGTCGGCTTTTGCTCTGTCCAGGGTTTCTTCGACAGTCGGCTTGAGTGAAACAACTTGGACTGCCGGGTCTTGAATCCTATCTGGTGTGATTGGCACGAAGAGTTGCATGTCTGTCATCGGGTGACTTTGATATTTCTAGTCTTAGTCTTTTATGAATAGACTTTCTATTTTCGTTGAATCTACTGTATCATATTTTTCTTATATTTTTGATATAATTATACTATATACTTCATATTAAAAAAATGGGTTCTGGGCGATGTTGTTCAATTAATTTTAAATTTCATACAGAATTATTATTTGATGAATTTGTATGAAAATTAACAGCGTGCTTATAAGAATTCAAACGGGAAAAATGCCAATTGTTGATCACAGCCATTTTTTCTATTTTTAGTAATCGTTTTTGGAGAATTGTTGTGTCTCTTTTGAAAAATGAAAAAAAAAATTATTTGAAAATGAGAAAAAAAGTTTCATTTTTAATTTAATATATTGTAATTTTTTACCATTTGCTTCACAAGAAAAACACATAAAAAAATTTCGTTTTTTGAAAACTATGGTCGTCAGATTTTTTTTATTTATTTTGTTTGCATTTTTGTGGACTTTTTTTTGATGTTTCGAATGATCTAACGAAGATTGTATTCAAATAGTTAATATATTGTATATTTATAATATAATATTACTTATTTATTTAAACAGTACAAATTCTATAATTGATAACGGAAAACTATTAAAATATAAATTAAGTCTTTTATTCTTTTTTTAGTTACTTTTCATTTTTAGTAAATTATTAATTTCATTATAGTATTAATTATTTTTTAGTTAAATTATAATATAATTTATAAGTAGAATTGAAGGAAAAAATATTTTTTTTAATTATTAATTACATTAAAAAAATAATAATAAACAATACTATATTTTGCTATTAATTATCAACATTTTTTTGTAAACTTTGTTTCACTTAGAAAACCAGTAAACATCAAAATAGAACAAATAAATAAAAATGTACCTTTTTTAAAACTCAAAATAAACGTTTTGATGTCAGCTACCAAACCTACTCTCAACAAACAAAGCACTTATGAAGAGATACGCAAAGGTATGAACTTGACACGAGCTGTTTGTTTGTTACTATTTAGAAACAATTCAAATGACTGAAAGGAATTAATATATCAAAGAAATGTATTGGGTGACTTGGTTAAAGAGCTTGAAACTGATATAAATGCTATATTTGCTGAGAATATATTTAATGAACAAAAAATGGTAATAAGAGAAGCTTTAGTATGTGAACTCCGAGCAGAGAAAAGCATATTACTCCAACAGATTTCACTTTATGAAATTGAAATTAAAGAGAAGAATTCGTTGTTGAAGAACCTTGAGTCGAAAATCATTTATATTCGGAGGTATTTTGATTACATAGTTGATTTATTTGATTTGGATAAAAAGAGGATGATGACTCTTGACGAGTTCATTTATAAATATAGTGAAATTACAGTGAACAATGTTTTACCTATTAATATAATGAGAGAACGGGCTGATTATATAGAACAACTTCTTAAAGAATTCGAAGAAAAAGTGAAATCAACGGATGACATTCAGCAGCGAATACTGCGTCGTGACAAAATACTCTCACAAGATAATTTAGACAATTTTGAAGAATTCAGAAAACAGTTCAAAGCTGCCAGATATATACAAGAACGTCCTCCAATCTTAAACCCAAATGATGACCTTCAACAAGTTCTTGAACAAAAAGAAATGCCAAAACCCACTCCAACTGCCATGGTTGAAAGTGATGATTTCTCTCCAATCCATCCATCCGAATTTGTCCAAATAGAAAAATGAAAGGAAAAAATGAGTATTTGAATACTTTTTGTTCTTAATTTAGGTACACCAGAATCAATTACTTCTAATTTTAAAACTCCAAGAGATGAACTATTCTTAATTAAACGCAATAGTAAAACTATAAATAAAAAAATATACTTTTAGAATCTATTCAACCCCACAAACTAATTATTTAAAAAAGATGGATCTTGTACTTAGCTTTCTTCTTTCAGTAATTATTTCCATCTCAGCGTATTATAAAAAGTCGCTTTCACTCAGTGGCACCGTTGCTGGCTTTTTCACGTTTTTTATACATCTGTACGCGGGAACTTCAATCGGCCTTTTTATTATTACATTCTTCATTACTTCCTCTATCCTCACAAAGGTCGGGAAAGATAAGAAAAAGAGGATCGAAGCGAAATACCAAAAAGGTGTGTTTATCTCTTGTAGAGTTTATATATAATTTATTAAACTAAAATTACAGAAATTGTTCAAGAAGAGTGGGTCATTCTTCTTGAAGTTATAAGAAGAGTAAGTAATAGACTACCTTGTCAATAAACAATCATACTAATGTATAGAGTCTATCCGCACACACGTGCAAGTGTTTTGTAATAGCTTAACAGCAAGTATATCGGCTGTTGTACTTATTCTATTACACTCGCCACAAGGAGAAGATGCTTGTTATTCATTCACCCCACTCGAAGTGTTCATCTATGGAGTTATTCCAGGATTTTATAGTTGCACCAATGGAGACACTTGGTCTTCTGAAATTGGTGTTTTGAGTGACACAAAACCAGTTTTGATATCGACTTTAAAACAGGTGCCTGCGGGAACAAACGGGGGAGTCAGTTCTTTGGGGCTTACCGTTGGATTCTTGGGGTCACTTCTTATCGGCTTGGTTTGTTCCATTTCATTCACCTTTTTCTGTGGTGTCCACCCGACCAGTTTTCTGCTGATTTTGTTCAGTGTGACTTTATCAGGCGTTTTAGGTAATTTGCTTGATTCCTTTTTGGGAAGCACATTGCAATACTCAGGGTTTGATACTGTTACAAATTGTGTAGTGAGACAACCGGGAGAAAATGTTAAGCACATTAGTGGAAGGGATGTCTTAGGTAACTCTGAGATCAATATTATAACGTCGAGTGTAGCGGGATTGATCTGTGGCGGACTATTCTTAGTCTTAAAGACAATCATGTGAGACACTTTAATTAATGTTATACGAAATGTTTTAGGGTTTAAATGGTATTAATAATTTGGAATTGGAAATGAAATACTGCGAACGGGTGTGATGAGTGTGAAAGAACGGATCCTTCAAACGTGCAAAATGACATTTTCTGGGAATACGGAGATGCTCAAAAATGCAAATACCTATTTTGAGTCTCTTTTTGCTGAACAAACGTTTGGCATTTCTGCTTTAGATATTTTGGTTTCGAATGAAACCCTTCCATTAAAACAAATCGTTTCGATCAATTTCAAAAGATATTTTAAATTAGTGTATGGCAGTTTAAATGACGTTGACAAAACAGCATATAAAGAATTGTTATTGAAAATTATCATACAAACTCCCGTCTTAGTCCAAAAGCAAATTACTGAAGTCTTTAGTTATATAATTGAATTGGAATTCCCAAAAGGCTGCCAGGATTTATTAAAGAATTTGATTACTTTCTTCCATTCACAAGAAATATTACACAACGAAAATTCTTTTAAAGGCGTTATGATGGTTATTAACACTATTATTAAAGCAAAACGTTTTAAGACTGAGTTATACCCCTTCATGATCGAATTTGTGAACCAAATATTTTCGATGTATTTGACAGTATTCACCACTGCTGTCTCTTCGAAAATGTTCACTTACACCAAACCACTTTTAAAGGCCTTTAAATATCTCCTTTACACAAAAATACCTCCTTTCTTCAATCAACAAAATACAACACAATTCTATCAGGCCGCTCTTACTTTGTTGGCTATGCCTTTCGAGTTCAATCAGAATTCTGAAAAACACCCACAACTCTCTTCTGTTATAAATTTAATACGTGGAACCACCTCAATCATTTCTCAATACACAAGCAAGAATAACAGGAAACAGAGCCCAACACTGACCTTCTTTGTGGAGAACATTGCGTGCGATTTTCTTAAGGTAATGTTGTCTCAAATGAGGGATGGGTTGCCTAAGGTTTTATATTACTACATGTTTGTGTTGATGAGTTACAGTGTGAAGACGGCCAAATTGTCGAATGTCATTCAATCGGTCTTTCCCGCACTGTTAGATCAAATCATAGTGAAAAAATTGATGATCACCGACGCGCAAATGAATTTGATGATGACCGAACCAGCGACTTATTTGAGTGAATTACAAGACGAAGAAATCGGAGCTGTAGATGCATGGTACGGTGCTTTAAGTCTCATTTTGAACATCAAAATGTACCGACCTAAAAATTACTTGCCCCTCTTTTTAAACCCACTTTTGGCTGTTGTCCCAACAACTCCAGAGATGTTAAATAAAGACGAAAAACTGATCGATTGCGCTTGCTTCATTCTCTCTAAAATAGTCTCGAGCTTTACTATATCACAAGACTACGCTAAGTATGTGCCTGCTTTGTTATCGACAACAGTGCCTTTGTTACTGAAAAGTGGGAAAGTCTTGTTAATCCGAAGAGGGTGTGACTTATTTGAAAGTCTCTTTGTTGTTTTGAATTACAAAAAGAATGTTCCCCTCCCACAAGAGGTGTTGAATGTCGTGCAATTGGTTTTCTCGTTGCTTACAAGTAACAATTTGATTGTCAAAGTGTCTGCTGGGTCAACATTGGGGCTTTTTGTCTCATATGACTGCTTAAGAGAAAGCTTCAGACCGATTTTAACACCAATGTTTGACGTTTTGATGCAAACGGCTCACATCTATGAGAGTGATACAGTCGTTTCAACTATGTCTGAATTGATTCAAAAATTCCCAACAGAGACTCTTCCAAATTCATTACAACTGACACAAGGACTCTTCGAAATATTACTTTCAGTGGAAAACAATTACGAGGACTCTGATGAGAATACTCAAATCAAAATGATGGACTCTGTCCATGTCGCAACAGACTCAATTTGTTATCTTATTGAAATCAACAAGAGTAACTTTAATGCAACCGAAAAATTCGCTAATACGTTTATCCCTTACATATTAAAACAAGTGCAAATCACAACAGATTTCCAGAATGAATCGTTTGATAATACTGTCACACTGGCGTTGGCTCTTGCAAAGGCGTTACCAACCCCATATTGTGTCCAAATGCAACAACTCTTCTCTATGTTACTTTCACTCACACCAAACATGAACTACTCAACACTCTCATCGACAGAAACACTCATTTCTAAAATGATTTCAAGGTGCCCTGAACTCATTTTGGTGCCAACTAATATGGAGAACCTTGTCATCCTCACTAAAAAGTTTTTGCTCTCAGAAGACATGGAAGTCGAGATCATGAGCGTCTACAATACTATCAGAGTCGCTTTACAGAAAAACCCTGGTAAAATGGACCAGTTCATCGTATTCTTAATCGATATCGTTATTCCCCTTGTTCAAAAGAAGAACCCCGCTTTCTTTTTACAACAAGTGGAAGCCATTTTGGACTGCATTGTCTCAAACCCCGCCTTTACTCTTGCAGTGTTAAATCAACGAGGGTTTTTGAACGATTTGTTCCAACTCTGGAACGGTATGATTGCCAATAAATTGCCTTCTTTGATGGACAAGAAATTGTCTATTCTTGCAATGCTTTCTATTTTGACCATCCCAATAAACAACATGCCACAAATTGTATCACAAAGTCTCACGAATTTTTATGAGACAATTGTCCAGGTGGTCGTCGCTGCACAGAGTCAGAGGAAAAAGACTCAGGCGTATTATGAAGAACAAAGAAAAAATGGGGGAACTTCGATTTTGAACAAAATGGAAGATGTTGGAGAAGATGAGGATATTTTGTATGACGACGAAGTTAATGACGAAGACGTCAAAGCCGCAATGGAACAGTACTTAAATGGTGGAATTGATTTGGATGAAGATATTTTAGACGACGAGGAAGAGAATGACGATGATGACTTGGTCATCGACGAGAGAAACGCTTTTTATGTTGTGATGCGAAGAATACTTGAAGGAGACTTGAAAGACCAACGACACGTTGTGGCAATCCAAGGATTGACAACGGTCGCTCGTGAAGAGTTTGCCAAGATCTTTGTTGAACAAGCGCCATCAAAGTAGACTGATTTTATGTTTAATTTGTTTTGTTTTTTATCGCAATAAGTGTCGTTTTATTTTCAGGATGCGACACTTTTTATCGCAAATGTTTACCAGCAACATTACAAATATTTTTCGTATCACTTCAATCATCATTTAAACAAAAGTAGGAGGAAATATGGGGATGCTCGGAAAAGGAGGATGCTCGTAATTATTGGTTAATTTCAATTGAAAAATAATAAAATTACTATTAATTTTAATATAAATTATTAATCAAAAAATTAATAAAATGAAAAAAATGAAAAATCGAAATAAATTTATATTAATTATTTATTATTAATAATATTAAATTACTTAATATTTAAATTAGCATCCACCTTTTTCCGTTAACTGTAATGAATTTATTATTATTAACAGTTTGATTTTCTATTTTTGTTATTTGTTTTCTTATTTATCAAATAGTTAAATAAATAGTTAATAATAGTTTTCAAATACAATTTTTGAAAAAATATTCTATGTTTCTTAATTATAACATCAAAACTAAAATATATAAATAGTAAACTTACTTTTTTCAATATCAAATTAGGTGTTTCTTTTTTGTGGTAATGTACATTGATCTTAAAATAAGAAACCCATTAAAACCTTTGTCCGTCTCTCTCCCAAGCGCAATCAACAGCCCAGACTTTTTAGTGTTTTTGGGGGTTTGCTGAACTTCTTTCCCAATCGATACTGTCGACTCTGGTAGTGATTCAATACATTTTGCGCACAACCAGGCGGCAAAAACACCATACTCACCATCCTTCTCCAATACTACATTCATTTGTACGTTTTGACATTTTATGTGTGAATAGACGCACCCTTCAAATTTTCGAATCAAAGCAACTGTTATGGGGATGTCGTCATTCTTTATTTCTGATGGTTGAATAAGATTTATATCTCTTTCTGATTTCAAAGCATTTTCGACTATAATTTTAGTACAGTATTTAAAACATATTAACATCCAATCGTCAACGGAAACGACTGCTTTGAAGTATGCTTTTTCCTCTTCAATTTTTTTGAGAAGTGCTTTTTGATATGCAACGTTGTATGGTTCATTCCATGTCAAATCCCAATTTCCCAAGAATTTCCAGACTGTATCAACTTCACGAAGTTTGGCAATGTATGGAGATAAGTTTCCTTCGCTGTCGTCCCAATTAGGCATTAAGCCGTTGTATGTATAATTTGCAGGAAAATGAAGGGTTGTTCTTGACATTGGGAAATATTCCCGAAATTGTTGCACTTTTTGTTCGTATATATACATCACACTAGTTATATTTGAAGAATACTTTTTCTCGATCGAATTGCCAATTTGTGTTGACTTGTTAAAGACTATGGGTAACAGAGATTTGATTTCGCTGATTGTTTTTGCAAACCTCCCCAATCTAACCCATATTTCATGAAAATCACTTATATTCATTTTTCCAAATTCTCCAATCGGAACAACATGACATACCAAATTCATTGGAAAATCAACTTCCCCAATTTTTGGTACGACAAAATGGTCGATGGAATGTATTGCGAGATTCTCAACAAGTTTTTGTTCTTTTTTTACCTTCAAGTAGCACTCAAACGCCGAATTTTTGTCAGGTGAAGGGGTTTTAAAGATGTTGAGATAGCAATCATCTAAGTGAGTCGTCTGGTCTATGGTATCGGATTCTTTACTCATATCCTTTGAGATAATGACAAAACCGTTTTTATGGAAAAAAGTTTAAAATAATAAATAATAATTAATTATATATTAAATACCTCAAAAAAGTCAAAGTGGCCAAAACTCATACTCACAGTCTTTAACAAACGAAAAGTGAGTTCCTATTATATCACCGAGTTCACAAAATATATCCATTAGAATCTCGTCATCCTTGCTCTTCACCTTTGCAGCACTAATGATTCTATTAGTCTCAGCTATTATACTTTGTGTTGTCTTATAAGGGGGTATGTCATTAAGTTCCATTTCGTAGCAAAAAAGCCAGACTGTGGCAATCGAGAGAGCGTATTGTATTGTGAAGTATTCCTGGAATACTGAATCAAAAAGGTCAAAGCCCCTTGTGTGTTCCACAACATACTTGAGTGTTATTGTTCTGTTCGCTTCGTCAATTTTGTCAGCCATAGACTCATATTCGGGTAAATAACACGATATCAAAGACGCTGTTATATAAACCATGTTTTGGTTAAATGGTGAAAGTGTTGAAGTATCGTTATGTGGGTCTTTAAGTGCATTGATTGTATCTTCAAATGCGTTCAACGTCTTAATGACAGAATCTATTGTTATTATTGGTTCTATAGATTCGTGGTCATCTAACGTCGTTGGTTTTATTTCTTCGTTGTCAGCTTCATCACTTACACTGCCACTGCTCTTCATTGAGTCATCACTCGTACGCTCAAATTTTGTTGCCATGAATGTGTCGTGGATTTCCTGATGGTCAGTGTGTTTTTTGCTTATGTTGAATTCAGCCATTGTTATTATGAGTTTTGCTTTTTTAATTTCGTTTTCTAACAAAGGTAAAATATACATATGATTTTTATTATAAAACTTTTATTATAAATATTGTTAATTTCTCGAACCACCAAAAACTCCTTAAGATTCAAAATAATTTATTTTTACTACACTAGACTGATTTTATGTTTAATTTGTTTTGTTTTTTATCGCAATGATTGTCATTTTATTTTCAGGATGCGACACTTTTTATCGCAAATGGGATATATAGTTTGAATATGGTATACGTATAAATTAAAATTTAAAAATAGAAGAAATAAATTAAAGCACAACAGAAACAGCTTCAAGCTCCTTCACAATTTCAGGAGCAATGAGTCTGTCTTTTGGAAACTGGTTCCATGTTTTCTCGACTATGTTAAAGAGTCTTTCGTCGACTTCTTCAGGGCGAGAAACTCTTTTACCAGCAACTACAAACTCAGCAACGTTCCATGGGAATTTAAATGCTTGTTTTGTGTAAATTGGACCCCACATGAGCACTTCAAGCATTGTTATAGCAAATGAGTAAATATCACTTGGTGCATTGTATTTGTCTTGTTTTAGCACTTCGGGTGCCATATAAACAGGAGTGCCAACACTCTTTGTGAACGTCATGTTTGTCATCAACATATTAATGTTTCTTGATGACCCAAAATCAGTCAATTTGGCGCACGCTTTCTCGTTCAAATCCATCGAAAACACCAAGACGTTATCTGGCTTAATATCTCTATGTAAAACACCATTTTCATGGAGATAAGATATTCCTCGAGTCACATCAGTCAGCATCTTGACTTTGAGCTTTGTCTCAATACCTTTCTTATTTCTTTTGTACATCATATCAGAGAGACTTCCAAATTCAGAGAATTCAGTGACAATACACAATCTATTCGGTATCAATACTGCACCATAGAAATGGACAATGTACTCACTTCTGAACTTGTCCAGCATCGACACCTCTTTCTCAAATTCTTCGATGACATTTTCACCATCTTCGACATTCTTTAACTTCTTTATCGCAACACAGTTCTCTCTGAATTTTCCTTTGTACACTACACCAAAGGAGCCCTCACCCAGTTTGAAGTCTTCTTTGATCTCAGAATAATCCAATTTGGAAGTAATAACCGTCTGTGTCTCGACTTTGATTTGAACTGTTTTCTCCTTCCCTGTTTTCAAGTCGACGAAGATGATTTTAATTGGATTTTGGATTGAGCAAGTGCACAGTGGAGTTATTGCCAAAGAGAACTCACAAGCCTCTCCAGCCTTTAGGCAGACGATTTTTGGTGTTATTTCAATTTCGCATCTTTCCAATTCCACAATAGACAACTGCAACTTGATGGTATCTTTTCCTGTATTTCCAATACACAACAATTCCTTGGATTCAACTCCGACTGGAATGAACTCATAATCTTCGTTGAATCGCACAACCATCTTGTTTATACAGATGCATGTATTCTCGATGTTCTTAAATATCACATTAGATCTGTCGATTTTGAAAGTGGTAATGTTCAACATTTTCTTCTTTCTTAGAAGGACAAAGGCGACAGTCAGAATGATCGCAATTAACACCACAATGACGACTATAATCACTACTACTAAAATCGCTACAAGTGCTTTTTTACTCTTTTTAAAACACTCTCCATTGACTAATTTGTACCCACCCATACATGACTGACACACTCCATTCTTTACCGAAGTGCACGTGGAATCACTACTAAGACTTTTACATAACCCTTCTTTCAAAAGAAGTCCTTCGGTACATAAAGTGCATTGCGAATATCCACTACATAGTTGACACCCATCGTCACAATGTTGGCACAACCCATTTTCAACAAAGTAGCCATCTGCACACTTTTGGCATCCAGACTCGCCAACTTCTTCACACAACTGAATCGTGGAAAGACTCACACAGATCGAGTTGTTTCTAAAGTAACCTTTAGCACAGGTGAGACAATTGCTTGCGTCCTTTAAACATGTGCCACACGACTCTGCACATCTGACACATTGTTTTTCACTGTACAAGTATCCATTTTCACATACAGCGCACCCAGTACCATCTAAGAATGGGGTTAAACACCCTTCTATGGAATTCACAGAAACACAAGTCGAGTTCGACAACAGTAAAAATGAGCTTTTGCACTTCAAGCACTCGTTGTTATTGTAACAGATCAAACAATTGTCTTGGCACTGTTCACAAGCGTTGTTCAGCAAATAGAAGCCTTCAGCACACTTATTACAACCTATTTGATTCTCCATTAAACAGTTACTAATAACACTAATTATAGCTCCTTTGTTCATATTAGTCACTGTTTTAGTTGATCCAAAGTACATAGAAACGGCCATTTGATTCAAACCGTCGTAGTTTGTGTTAACCCGAGTTGTTGTTGAAAGGATTGGAGCAATTGCTCTCTCTTGACACGAAGAGAAGTCAGAGACTAAAATATAGTTTTCTTCACATCTAAGGCAGTAATTTTTACCAACACATTGCGAACAATGAGGGACACATTCTACACAGAGCCCAGTGGTGTCATTTAAGGTGTTTCCTTTGAGACATTCCGAACATCGATATCCATCTGATTTTACACATAAATTGTATGTCTCACATGTAGTACCAGATACAATCATGTTATTAGCACAAGAGAAACATTCGGTTTTTGTGCACTTGTTGCAATTGGATTGACAAGGAAGACACTCTTGGTTGTCAAGATAATACCCAATACCACATTCTGCACATCCAGAAAAACTAGTTCTTGTGCACCCCTTCGATTCATTGAGCGACAAGCATTTATGGTCTTTCAAGAAATAAGTACTTTCAATACAAGACAAGCACATCAAACCTTCTTCCGAGTACTGACATGTGGTACATGCAGATGGACAGTTGTGGCAAGTTCCATTGTTAAGGTAATACCCATCATTACAACTGATGCACTGTGACTTCTTAAAATACTTACAAGTACTTCCACTGACTTGTTGACATATATTCGACTCTGTGTTATATATAAAATTATCTTGGCATTGTAGACATTGTGAATTTTGGAAAGTGTAACACCCCGAGATACTACACTTAGAACACATGGACGCATTCTTTACTGATGAAACGCACCCTTCACATCCAATCACTTCATTGTATGTGTCGCACATACTCTTATCTTCTTTTACACACTTTCCATTTTGAAGTGCATAACCAGTCTTACACGCATTACAATGTTGATAATCGATCAAACACCGTTCACATCCACTTTCACATGGTTTGCACTGTCCACTTTCATCATTTCCATAACCTTCATTGCACATCAAACATCTGTTTGAAACTCTACTCATCGATTCACACTCGGGTTTATAAACAGAATTGTTGTAACAATACCCATTAGATGGATACATCCCCTCTTCACAAATTGTTGCAAATTTTACACAAATGGTATCATCACATGGTATACACTCATACTGACTATTAAGTCCAAACCCTTCACTACAATATGCACACTTCCCTTTACCACATTTAAAGCAGTTGCCTTCAAGGTCACAATCTTTAATACAGATCCCATTCTCCACATAATACCCTTTCGCACATGTCTCACATTCATACTTCTTGTTGTTACATATAGTACAATTATCAATATTACACTCTGAACATTTCCCATCTATTAAGACCAAATTTTGTGTTCGACTGCACTCTTCACATCCCCATGTTGTTCCACTACAAGAGCTACATCCAGAAAATTCTTCAGAACAGTCATAACAGAATCCATTATATGGAGACTTCCCATCACCACAAATGCCATTAATAGCGGATGTACATAAAGTAGAATTACTCGAACACAACTCACATTGTCCTTGATAATTCACACCATATAATTTTGAACACTGTTTACATTTATGACTTGTTTGTTCACAGGTTCTACAATTTTGAATTGAAGAACTACACTCTTCACAACTCAAAGAATCAGAAGAAATGACATATGGACTTTCACAACCATAGCATTTAAGAACACTTCTATCAGCTAAGACACAATGTGCAATAGCTTCTGCGGCTAAGACACACTGCCCATTATATTTAGTGTATCCATAGTCGCACATCGTGCAGTCACTCTTTGTTTGACTACACGTGGTGCAATGTGGAAATATCGTCTGACAGACATCACAGTCTCCATTGAGTGTTTTGAACGTGTAACTGTCTTGACATCTTGTACACATCTTAGAAGTTGTGCTGCATGTATCACATCCATTGAAAACAGATGAACACGTCCCACATGTATTTCCAGAGGAAAAGGTATATCCGTTCTCACAAGAAAAGCAGCTGGTGCTATTGCAACTGTTACAATTTTGGCATTTAACGCATCGTCCATTTGAAAGTGTATATCCACTATTACACTGTTTACACTCATTCAAGCAGTAAGAACATCCATTGTAATTACCACATGGATTGCATACACCATTTTCCAAGACATATCCCTCTTTGCACCTTTCACACGTGCTTGATGTACAAAATTCACAATTTGAAGAACATGCGTGGCACGCTTTATTTGAAAAGTAGAATCCGGGTTTACAGGAGTTACAAGTCTGGTCATTGGTTGTACATGTGTGGCAGTTATCTGGGCATTTTTGGCAATAGTCATATGGGTCGACATATCCACTCATACAATTTCGTGGGTAGTTCATGTTACTGCACTCGTCCACTCCTGTTGTTTGGTATTTAGATGGGCAAGCTATTTGTTAATATATAAATTATAATATCAATTAATGTACTTAATACTTATACTATATATAGTAACAAACAGCTACAAGTTCCAGAGTCTAAGAGTCTGTAATGTTGTGAACAAAAAGTGCACTGTCCACTTCCTCCACACTTTAAACATCCAGTCATAGTGGAATTACACAAAACACAACTTGCACCAGACAAATAATACCCTTCTTTACACCCACTACACGTTGATGATGAAGTGCAGCTTGTACATTCATAAGGGCATGACTGGCATTTACCATAATATGAATCATAATAAGTACCTATTTGGCAATTTGTACATGTAGTTGTAGTACACGAAGTGCATATACCATTTACATTGGTATATCCTCTTTCGCACACATCGCACATGTCATTGTTTGCACATGATTTACAATTTAACCCACATTCTTGAAATTACTCTCTATATTATACATTTAAAGCATACATAACAACAAACTGATGCAATTGCCATTGTTCATATAAAATCCATCATTACACGTGTCACACTGGTTGAGTGAAGAACACGTCTTACAATTGTTTGCACAGGGCATGCATGTTTGAACACCACTACCTACATAATAAAGGAAATATCCAGCAGAACATGTATTACACCAAAATTCGGTGCTGCATGTGGTACATTCTCTACGACACTCTATTTGTTATTTTTAATAAGATAATTGTATAAAACAAACTATAACAATAATACCACGCGTTGTCTTTGTAAGCACCTGTTTTGCACCCATCACACAGAAGCGCAGTGCAATGTCCACACTCGTCATAGTAGCAATTGTTGATCGCATTCACAAGAATTAAAGCGAGAAACACAAAGACAAAGTGCGTTGGTGTCATTAGAATAATTTCGCTGAATGAAGAGCAACGAAATTAGCAATTTAAAGGTTGCCTGCTCTGCCTATTCTTTTTGTGAAGTTCGGGATGTATTCGAAAATGGTAAATAAATATTTTATTCAAAAAACCTTTGAGTGATTACTAAATTCCCTAAGATTTTTACTTTTGATACAGAAAATGGCTTTGTGGAATTTGCTTTTTAAGAAATTTTTTTGTGCTTTTCAAAACCTTATTTTTTTGCGATAAAATTCCCGAAATGTAGTGTTAAAAAAACGGAAAATGTTGGTTCTATTTAAACCCTTTAAAGTAGTCTAATTCCAAGTTTGAGTGACTGTTTACATTATCTATATTTAACAGGAATAACCACAGTCTTTGGTAACATAAACCCGATTATGCCGGGCTGCTCGGGCTGCTTCTGATTTTTTCGGTCTTTTCAGAGATGTGAATATTCAAGTGATGTTTTGTGGGCTTTCCCGACATTTTTCAATTCTGTCGAGTAACTTAAGTACCCAATGAAATGAAATAGCATTTTTGATGTTTTATATCTTTTAAAAGTTTTTGAAAAGGTATCTTTTACTTTCGTATTCTTTTTAAAGTTTTATATGAACCAATAATTGATAAAAAAAACTGCCTTTCTATTATCAAATAGGCTGTACATAAACTTCCTTGTTCAAACAAATTAAATTTCTTTTTATAAATAAAAAGGCTAAAAGTATTACATTTAAATATAATTACAAACACATTTAAATTAGTAAAGGTATATCCACCCCCAGAAGCAATTTAACTTTTGTCCACTACTAAACATCTCAATAAATAGTTTGTACCATCCTTCAAGTGCCAATTCTTGGATACCTCCGTCAGCTCCAAATTCATTTGGACCTATTCGTAAAGGACATCCTCCTTCCACCACTTCACAAATGTTAATTGTTTCAAATTCGTATGAATTTATGTATAAACTTCCCCAGTAGTACCATACCTCCCATCCCATATAAATTTCTTCATATGGATTTTCAGAGTCAATCAGAAAAATAAAAGACGAGTTGTACCTTGTGCCTCCTCCAAGAATATCCAAGTTTATTATTTTGACAGGAGGTTCTGCTTTACTTTCAGAACAACTGAAGAGGGAAACTGGTGTTGATAAACAAAGAAGAGGTAATAATAAGAAAAACATTTGTTAAATTGAGTTCATCTTTATACATTTGTTTAATAAATGCTTTACCAATTTAAACTTACGTTAATCGAAGAATCAACAATGTTAATATTTCATAAAAAACAATTTAATGTTAAAAACAAATGAGTTATTAATAATAATAGAAAACCCATCCCCAGTAGCAACTGAGTCTTTCCGTAAGGTTAAACAACTCAAAGTACAATTTATACCAACCTGGAAGTGCAACTGATTCAATTCCACCACGAGCAGAAAATTGGTTTTGTCCTTTTTGAAGTGGACAACCTTTTTCCAATTCAGCACACACATCAACGTCTTTGAATTGATAAGAAGTAATATACAGACTTCCCCAGTAATACCAAACTTCCCATCTTAATGTTATGTTGCTATAATCTTGTAAAGAATTAACACGAAAAATGTATTTTGAATCATATCGACTTGCAGGAGGGACTATATTTAATTCGTTCACTTCAACAAGTTCCTGTTCAACACCTTCACATTGTGCCAAAGTAATGTAGTCTCCATACGAAAGAGCAATAAGTGACAAAACAAATATCATTTTTGAAAATCAAGTTATTGTCTTCGTTTAAGTACATCAAAGAAGTCTTTTCAATCTTTCAACAAACTAAATAAACACATACACCTTCATTTTTGAATCGATAAAGAGGTCATTTCTTATGTTTAAAACACAAAAAGAATTCTGTCTTCAATCTTATTATTTATTTAATTTTTATATAGTAAAACAAACTACTATATTAAAAATAACAAATATAACACTTTGTTATTATTTAATTTTAGTATATTTTTATTAAACTTATTAATTTAAATTATTATAATTCCTTTTACTAACAAAAGTGTGAATAACAGTCTTAGGCAAAAATGGGTGTAAATGTCTGTTTTGCTTCCGACGCCGTGCAACGTTGTGCAGCAATTTGGAAACTTGATCCTAACACCACCAAGTTTTTATTTCCCTCCCAAGTCGATCTTGAATCACTAGTATCTTTCGTTTGATAACACAAGTCAGTGTTAGTCTCAAAAGGAATGTAAAAATGTTTTTTGTAGACAGAGTACCGTTCATTAGATGGGTAATCGTTGTAAGGGTGGACATAAACAAATCTTTGGTTTCTTGTTTCTGCGTCCAAAGGAGGTTTTTTATTCCAGATGATCAACGTGTTTCCAACAGAAGCAGAACCTCTGATATCATGAACTCTTTTTGGGATAGGGAAGGAGATGTACATCTTGTATGGAGCAAATTCCCAGAATTGTAATTCATTTCCCATATTCAATGGACGGAGCAATATGTTTTGTTCCCAATTACTTGTGTGTGCACGGACTAAGGATTTGTCATCAAATTCCATATCCATTACATAACGAGTGTCTGTATTGGGGTCATTTTCTTTGAAAACATCTTTAGTTCGGAAATTATAGTCCGAAGCAAAAAGAACGCGGCAACATGTGGTACATTTCATTCGATCATAAATCTCGTTGCTTGACATAAATACATCAATTGGAGCTGGATATCCCACGTTGTAACTTCCAAGAGCACTGGTAAAAGCCAAAGAGTAACTCAAAAGAGTCAAAAAGATTGGTAACATTTAAATAAATGAGATTGATTAACCCTTTTGAATCAAAGGAAACAAAACATGTCTTGAAAAAAAAGACAAATTAGATATCATTTTCATTGATTCAAGTATTTGATTTAATAATAACATAAAAAATTGATACTTATAAATAGAAAGGTATTTTATATTTTGTTTGTTAGCCTTTATTTGGTGTAAAATAATAGGTTTTAAAATGTGAAAAATATCAAAAATAGAACTATTGATGTGTGTTTCAAAAATAATGGCTGAAAATGGGATAATAGTAAATCAAAAAAGGTATGTTTTCTTTTTCTTGTTTTGTCATACAATTTAAAATTTGAATTATTTGTAAGAAAACATTATTACATTTTAGGGATTTTTAATAAAAAATAAAATTAAATATTTTTTTACTCTTTTCGTTTTTTTTATTTCCATTTTTTTAACCAATAAAAAATATAATATGTAAAACTAATATTTTTAGAATATTTTTTTGAACCATAATTAATTAAATAAACTAATTAAAATATTAATACTATTATATAGTAACTTAATTAAAATTTAATTATTATTTGTTTTTATAATATTTTTTTGTGTTTTTTAATTTACTATTATAAATATTAATAAAAACCTAAATAAATTAAATAATAACTATTAATTTAATAATTAATGATTACTAGTATTCTATGTTTTTTCAAAAAAAATAATTAAATAAATAATTAAAATATTATATGATTTATATATATATAATAATTTACTATAATATTATAATATTTTTTTAACAAGAATAACTTCAAATTGTATATTATTTATATATTATATATTATTATATATAACAATAATAATTTCTTATATCAAAACACACAAGTTATAATTTTGTGGTGAATCGTTTTTTTATAATATAAATAGGCTAAACAACAACTTTCAAATTCCCAAGACACACCGAATGCCGTATCTATTAATAAATAATAAACTTTAAATTATAATTAAGCTTTACTTTATAAATTCAATTCAATTGTTTTTTTTACTAATTGTCAATTACATTTGTAGAAATTTCGCATGAAAACTCTGAAAACCACAGTAAAACCAAAGGCGATCAAAACTTTAAAATTCTACGACAGATGTCACTTCTGTTGGTATTATTCCTCTTTTTTTTAAAGGCCCAAAGTGACTGTTGGAGTTCTCAAGAAGACAATGTGCTGCGGTATGGTCCTTACAGTCAGTGTAATAATTACATTGGAATTAAACAAGAGTACATTGATAATGTCGACATATTTACTTTCATAGAAAATTGTTGTGGAAATAACAAGACTTATTACACCCTTGATTTCACAACCAATGAGGCTCAAAAGAAAATTCAATTTCAAAGTGGTACAACAGTAAAAAGTCTTCATGTGATACCAAAATATCACGACCTTGACTTCGATTATTCTTTGAAAGATGCACCCGATGACCTCTTCATCAGCATCACTAGAACAAAAGATTTATTTAGTTTGAAAAATGACAACATTGAGGTTTACGATAAACCTGCTGTATTTTATAGTAATGGATATGAGCGGTATTATATAAAATATCAAAAAGAGACTTATAGACCTTATTTGTACTTATCAATGACTTCTCTATCTTATTCAACAAAAGTATTATATATTAATAGTGAATATATACCAGACAAGAAATGTACATATGCTTTTAACACCAACGACCAAGTTGATGTTAAAAGTGATGGTAGTAATGCTGTCACACACAAAATATGTGAATTAATAAATTCAGGAAATGTGCTTCGAAGATTTATTCTTTGCAAAAATATTGAAATTGACATTCAAAATGATTGCTCGTGTTATATCACAAATACTATTTCAAGAGCTTCTATAAAGGATTTTGGAACAAATTACCCGGACTGTTTACGCAATGGGACTTTTTTTAATTTGACAATTTTAAAGAATCAAAGCGAAGTCCATTTTGATTCTAAATATGGTAACGCGTGGAATTCAATAACCTTTGAAGAACGGAATTCCGCAATTATTTTAAATATAACCAGCAAATTGGATATAGTTGACGTGTTTTATTTTCCAAGTGTTGCTCTTGACATTATTGGGAATTTCAAGACTTCAAAAATGGTATTAAGTTCCGTACCAGTAAATGGAATTCATCATATTGAAAATTGGGAGGCAAAGGATATAGAAAGTGGAAGTTACACTTTGGATGACATTTTGTTTGTTGGGTATTATAATGAAAGTCTAATTTTACCAAAATCTATAAAAGTTGGATGTTCAAATGGGAAATATTCCAGATTTGTAATGAAAGACTCTTTAATAGGGTGTGAGTGCAATTATAAGAATGGCAATTACAGTTTTCAAGACTGTCAATATATTAGTACGATACTATTAAATAACTATATTCTTATAATAAAAGATGCAGAATATATAAAGTCAAATGTGATTTGGGGAGAAATACAAAATGCAGTTGACACCAAAATAACAGGAACAGTCACTTCCCAAAAGTGTTCATTCAAAGGCAGTGTAACTATAAATGGAAATGTAAATTGTGATACATTTTATACGACTGGAGAACTTACTTTGTCTTTTCTTGAAAATGGAATTTTACAAGGATCCATTTTTAGTTCAAATGGGTACACTGTTTCCGTTATAATACTTTCTCCAACAAATTTCAATTTTAATAATTTTGTATTGAATTCGGTGATGCAAATTAATGGAAATTTACAAAATGTGAAATTGATAACTTTACACACAAGTGGTGCATTTATAACTTCTAAAAGTATAACAATAAATAGTTTAATAACGGAGGGAATAGGCAAAATAAATTGCAGCAACATTTTGACAATCCAACAATTTTCAGGAAATAATCCAGTTGACATTTCAACAACTCTTCTTAAAGTTGAATCAACACGGTTGTCAATTCTTAATTTAGCCATCAGTGAACACGTGGTGATCTCCGACACTACATCAGAGTTAAATATATCGTATGTAACAAAATTTTTAGATATTCAAACTCCACTTTTGAGTATTACACATTCCACAAATCCACTAATTATATCGATTCCAGAAATAACCTTTTCGTATGACAAATTGTATTTTATTTCAAATAAACCAAGAAAAATATTAATAACGAATCAAAGTACAATGACAACAAAAAGTAAATATATATGTGATAAACAAATGATCGCTCTTGGAAATGTAAATGAAAGCGATTGCGACAAATTGGGACTCACAACCAAAATTTGTGTCCCACAATATGGTGGACTTTATTTTGATGAAAACAACCAATTAGACTATTCATGCCCTGGCAGTTCAAGTACAAATGTGTTCACCGAACTTGTTATTGAAAATGTTCGAGACTATTCATTTGTATCAAACGAATTTTATAACAAAATAGTAGTGATGAAAAATGCTATAATTAACATGAGTGAACAAATTGTTTCTCTTGAAGCACATTCCACCTTTCTACTAAAAGGAAAACACAATTTCATCAGTTTATCGCTCAAAACCATTGACTCTCTTCAACTCAATTTGACATTAGAAAATAGTGTTCTTATGACGGAAAGTGAAAAATCATTTCAAATAGAAAACGGTGATGTCAAATTCATGAGCGGAGCACTTTGTGATGTTTTTACTGCAAATTTACAAAATGTGAATTGTTTAATTTGCCGATATAGCACAGACCAAAATGGGATATGCAAAAACAAGGAACAAAAAGGCAACTGCACATATTACAACGAAGTGAACAGTTTTTGTGAACAGTGTAACGAAAACTATTTCTCTCACAATGACGGTTGTGTACAATGCAAAGAAAATTGCAGATTTTGCAATGTTTCAACTTGTTTCTTATGTCAAAATGGATTTGTTCTCAAAGACGGGATATGTCAAAACAAAACAGACGTTTGTGACTTTTCATTATCAGGGCGATGTTTAACGTGTGCTTTTGGGAATTATATGAAAGACGATTTAACTTATTGTATTCATGGCACAATAGTGGGATGCCTTAAATATCAAACTGAAAGTGTTTGTCACATTTGTGATGTTGGCAATTTCTATATTTTGAATGGTACAACTTGTGAATTGAAACAAAACACGGAAAAAGTAAATAACAAAGGAATAACGTCTTGTCAAAAGGGGTTTAATTTACTTTCAAATGTGTGTCGCGAATGTAACAAGACGTGTGAGATATGCACAAGTGAAAATGATGAATCCCTTTGTCAGAGATGTGTAAATGAAAATGTGTTAGTTGGTCCAAATTCGTGTGAGGACAATGAGTACATTGGATGTGACACAATTCAAAATAGCCGTTGTACTTCATGTCAAAAAGGGTATTACTTTGATGGTACAACATGTACTGAATGTGCATTAGGGTGTTCCCTATGTTCGAGTAAGACAATCTGTTTGTTGTGTTCTGAAGAGTATCATCTCCACGACAACTCCTGTGTTTTCAATACAAACGATACGTGTCACACATATCAAAATGGGATGTGTTTGACATGCAACGATGGGTATTATTTGACTTCACAAAATACATGTGAGAAGTGTTATTACTCATGCACAAAGTGTGTGTCTCGTCACAACTTTTGTTACTCGTGTAACGATGGCTTCATGTTATCAAACAATGAATGTGTGTCTGCATTGATCACTTCGCCAAATTGTAAGCAGACAATTCCAAATGCAAATGACAAATGTGCGATTTGTGACGACAATTACTTCCGTGTTTTGACGCATTGCGAGAGGTGTCAAAGTCAGTGCAAAACATGTTACACATCATCGACATGTTCTTCATGTAACAGCGCATTTTTCTTGAATGAGACATCCCTTTGTGAGCCAACAAGTAATTTACTTGGATGTTCTGACATCACTTCAACAGGGTGTATACAGTGTCAACCAAACTTCTATAGTGACAACATTCGTTGCAAGCAATGTGACACTTTATTCACAAATTGCACTCTATGTGATACTCTGAAATGTACAATGTGTCAGCCCACTTATGTTCTCGTTGAAATGTCATGTATTTATTATTTAGATATAGAGCACTGTACTCAAAGCGACTCTTCCAAATGCACAAAATGTTCGTTTTGGTATTCCGTCTCCCTTGATACTCCCCGTTGTGAGAAGAAAGCCGTCTGGTGGGTAATCCTTCTCATTGTCCTTTTTCTCCTCATTCTCTTGATTCTTCTCTTCGTTGTTCTGTTCTCTATCATAATCAAAGTGTTGTACGTCGTAGAACATCATCAAATAACTGCTGAGATACGTAAGACATATGCACACTTCAATATGAAACACACAAATATCCAATGGGTCAGTCCAGCAGTCAAATGTCCCATTTTAGTGAATAAGACGAAGTTAATGTTTGACTTAGAAAATCAAGAGATCCCCGTTCTGAAAGAAAGTCGGGAATTATTGTGTGTAGGAAATTACAGTCAAACTCCCGTCATTCTCACAATAGCAGAGAACCAAACAGAGGATTACACGTTGACCACAAAGATCAATACAATCAAGTTGAACAAATATGAAGGCTGTGAGTTAGAAGTCTTTCTAACGCCTTTAGTCTCGTCCCATTTACTTGGGGACTTCTCGATGTTTATAGACGACGCAAAGAACAACAAGCACTTTGTTGTGAAATTATCCGTCGACGTCCAAACGGAGATATCAAGTCGTTTAGCTCAGAATGAAATTATAGAAGAGCGGAAACTTGGTGAAGGGACCTTTGGTGTTGTTTACTTTGGCAAATTCCACGGTCATGATGTTGCGATCAAGAAGTTAAAGAAGCTTGGAATGGAGAGTGACTTGTATAAAGAACTTGAGAAGGAGGTTTCGATGTTAGAGAAGTTCCGGGACGACTATATTGTGTACTTCTACGGTGCTGTGATGAATACAAAGATGCCATCAATAGTCTTAGAATATGCCAAATATTGTTCTGTAGGTAAGTTGATTGACAGTGAGACATCAATTTCGTCTCAAATGCGATATAAGTTCTTAATCGATGGAGCAAAGGGGATTCAATACTTACACACAAATGGGATATTACATAGAGACATCAAACCAGACAATTTGCTAGTGTTTTCATTAGAAGACAATGTCGCTATAAACGCAAAATTGACTGATTTCGGGTCGTCGAGGAACATCAATTTATTGATGACTAACATGACCTTCACAAATGGCGTCGGAACTCCTATTTACATGTCGCCAGAAGTATTGAAGAAGCAGAAATATGACATGAAGAGTGACATCTATTCCTTCGGCGTGACTCTTTTCAATGTTTTGGTATGGCACAACCCGTATCAAGGAAGTTGTTTTAAGTATCCCTGGAACATCGCCAATTACGTCGTCGAAGGAAAAAGACTCGAGAAGCCAAACAATATGGAAGAGGACCTCTACGCCTTTATCGATGATGTCTGGACTCAAAACCCAAAAGAAAGACCCACCATCACCGTGATACTCAATAAGCTTCAGCAGTTCTATGAGAAGTGTAAATAACAGTTTATGTGTTATAAAGTACTAATAAATCTTCTATATATTATATTTATTAATAAAATAATAAATTTATTAATTTATTAATAAAATAAATGTGAGCTATTAAAAAATGTGCAATGAATATATAATCTTATTCAATTCACTTCACAAGTGTGATGTCAATTTCCTAAAATGTATTATAATCACAATTCATTTGATTATCATTGAAATATACAATAGAATAAACCATTTAATTATTAATATAATTAACAATAAATCAATAATTTTTTTTTAAAAATGAAAGCAAACTAATCAATAGCTTCAATTATTAATTCAAATGCATTAATAACACAATCTTCAAAAATGTTATTTGAATAACAAAAATCAAGGACTGAACTAATAAAACTATAATATACAATACACCATGAAGTACCTGTTTCTTCTATTCAGTGCTTTAGTCTTTTCAGTGAACGGCGATCAAGTTGGGATGTACATGTCGGCGCCTTTAGGGATGAGCCCATACGTTTCACCCGAGGATATGTGTAGTGGCAAATTGTGTCGTATGCGAGTGAAGCAAGTGATGCGGAAGTGCAAATTGTATGAGAAGAAGTTGGAGAGTTTAGATAAGATTCAGCGGAAGGTACAGAAAGAGTCTGAACGCGATATGTTGGACCTTCGTTCGTTAACTAACATCCAAGACCATCGTGTCCTTCAACACAAACTTCAGAAGGAAAGTCACTCCCTTCGTAAACTGCGACTGACGCGCGTCAAACTGATGGCTTTGATGCGACGCGTTCTCGCTGATTTGTCGTACGAACAGCAAGCTCGTGTGATCAGGTATGTTGGTATCGAACACAGAATAGATCCGTCCTATGAAAATCTTGCTAAAAATCATGGGCTTAACCATCTCAAGTCCAATCTTTTATAACAGTTTTATCTCAATCTTTCGTGTTGATTTGTTTGACACCACATCCACTGACTATATCAGTTGGTTCTAATTCTTATTAGCTATTTTTAAAAGTCATTTTTATTATAATTATATTATAATTATTATATTATTATATTATTATATTATTATATTATTATATTATTATATTATTATATTATTATATTATTATATTATTATATTATTATATTTATATTATTACTATATTATTACTATATTATTATTATTTTATTGTAAATTTATTGTGATGGTGTTTGATATAAAAAAATCTTCATTAAGTGGTATAACTATATTTAATGATTTTTGGTATAGTAAAATGGATTTATTAGTTGGAATGAGAAATGAATGAAATGTTTATTTTAATCAATTCATTTGAAAATGTAAAACATCATAAATTCTTGTTTTTCAATCTTCTCAGATTTAAAAATGAAATATCCAATGGAACGAACAGTATATTTCAGTTTGGAAAATCAAAGGAATTCAACAAGACTAATTGGCATTTTTAATACTCAAATACCACCACCACCTCCCTTGAGAAAAAAAAGAGATACAAAACATATGAAAATTCAACGAAGAGAAAACTGCCACGAGTAAAAAATGGATTGAAAACATTAAAAGTCGACATCCTTTTCGTCGTCATCATTGATTTCAGAGTCGAGCAACGCGTACTTTTCCTTCCCTTTCCCAAGTTTTTTCGTTCCTTTTGTCTTTTTCTCATACGCCTGTTCTGATGTATTCTTTGGGATACTTGGCGTCGTATATACACCTCTCTCAGCAGCTTCCTCATCTTCTTTCGCAGCTCTTTTGTAGTCTTCATTAAGTGTGTTTGCCTTCTGTTTCATTGTAGGATTCGCGTTCCCTACCAATTCGTCTCTATTCATCGTTACTACTGAGTCCTTATACACCAGTGTAACGTCTTGTCGATGATCAATCTGTGGGATGTTCGGGTTTTGGACGTCAAACGTCCCATTTTCCTGTGCAACAAACAAAAGCTCTGCGCACGCGTTTTTATCGTAGTTGCAATCGATCAAAACACTCTTTATAGTGTCTGCGTCGACGTATGGAAACAGTTCTTGAAGTTCTCCTACAACGGTTTGAAGTGCCATCTCTTCTGCTTAGTGTAATGCTTTTCAAAAAACTGGAATTCCTTTCATTCATTAAGTTTCTTGTTCTCATTATATGTACTATTATTATTAATTATTATTTTTTTATTAATCTAATACGGAGTCAATTTATTTAACCAACTGTAATATATGTTGAAATAGTATTATGTATTATACAATTATTATAATAAAACTATATTTATTAATTTACTATTGAAAACAAGATTATATAATAATATACTATTAAAATATTATTTAAATAATTAAATCATTTGACTGTATTTAGTGTTTTATTATTTCTAATAGTTTATTTCTTAGAAATAATAATTTAAATTCTCATAAAAAAAAGTACCTTGTATTAAAAAACTAATTTTGTCAATAACTACTTTCTAATATTATGATACTTTCCAATTATCTATATATTTAATTAAATATATTATAAATATAATACATTTTTTAATAAAAAAACAATTCCAATTTCTATATTTAATAATAAAATGATAATAAAAATATAGTACATCAGAAAAAACTCGAAGAGACAGTGATTAGTTACTATTGTCGTTTTCTATTCTGCACCTCTGGAATGTGATACCGCACCCAGCGAGTAACAAGACCAACAAAAAGATGAGTAAGACAGCACCTGCGATCAAATAGAGTTTGACGTTTTTCCACCACATCGCTCTTTTCAATTTTACAGCCGATGTTTTGAATTGTGACGATGATTCGACAAGGTGACTAGTTTCGTCTTCGAGTCCTTCCAACACAGAACCTCTCTCGAGCATTTTATTAACACTTTCGTTCAAGACGGCTTGTGTCTCGTCTTGGTCCTTTTTGATTTGAGCAAATTGACTATTTTCCAAGTTACTGTGCTTCTCGACGAGTGTCTTAATTGTTGTGTTAAACGCCGACATTTCCATTGGACCCGCTGTCGATATAGTGTATTGGTCATATTGTGTCGTGAAGCTCTTTTTAACTGCTTCCAAGAAGACAAATGATTCTCTCATCGGAAATGTATCGTCGCATACACACAACGCAAACATCTCTCGGTCGACTACCAATTGCAGTTGAAAGCGGTCATATTTCGACGATGACTTCGGCGAGGAAGCTGGGCCTATTTGGCGGACAACAGCGTCTATCGCTTGATTCAGGGAACCCAATGATACCTCACTATATACGGCCAGGATAGTCTGTCGATACCCAACACATCCATAGTAGATTTTTCCAGACATTCTTCTTTTTAAGTTCAAAGTTCTTTCTTTTTCCTCACCCCGCAAGTTTTCGCTCTTCTCATCTCGTCAGTTAACTTTATTCTTCTAATAAAATTTCTGATGTTTTACTTCCGCTTTTCAACAAATTTCAGTTTTTAACAAAGTTTGCCTTTCACAACTCCATGTACTATATTTTATAATACTGCAAATTAGTTCATTTTTGTTTGTATATTATAACTATATTATTATAATTGTATTATAGTATTATATTAGACTATAATAGTTATGTAACTATATATTTAATACAGTTTCAAAATAAACAATTCCCTCTTCTATTCCAATAATCAACTATAATAAATAGTACATTAAAAATTACATAGAATTATATTACAAAGTGTTCCACAAATTGATGCCACCATCTCTATACCCAGCAATAATACACTCGTTGCATATCTTCACACAAGACACCCCATTCTTGTCATCGACAATCAAGCACTCTTCTTCTCCAAATTTAGTTCCGCTCCTCACACAAACAGTTCGATCCGTTCCCACATACAACTTCTTTTCATAGTAATTGAGACATGAGACCTTTGCATCAAAGACTAGAGTCTCCATCGGCTCGCTGAGTTTGCGTTGGTCCCAGAGTTGCACAATAGACTCTCCTCCACTCGCAAAAGTGTTTTCGTCGATGATTTCAAGTGCATTAAAAGTCTTCACGTTTCGAATCTTTTCGATCGTTGGGGTGACTGCGTTGGGATCCCAAATTTGGATACTTCGATCCGCAGAGATTGACACAAATCGGGGCCCAAAAGGTTTAACCCCATTAATTTTCCTTAAATGTTCCGCATAAGTGAATAACACTGCCTGATGTAAGTGGTGGTAGTTAATAAGTTGGACCTTCTCCCCCCACGACACAAACGCAGTCTTAGTCAGTGGAAGAAACCCTTCGATTTTCCCTCCAACAACATCGAACGTCAAGACTCGATCTGATTCCATAATAGGTATATACTTGACTGTCCCACACTTATACGCAATAGCTAATGTATTCTCTATAAACGTCGAAGACACCACTGAACTGTTTGGTCCACTAAAGACCTTCGATGTCTTCGTCTCCGGACTTTTCAAGTCCCACAAGCGGACCTTCCGGTCGGATGCGCCGCTCACAAAGTATTTCAAGTCATTAGAAATGTCAAGTGAACGCACAAAATTGGTGTGTCCATCAATTCGCGTCGGTTTGATCTCCGAAAGGGCCTTCGTCGCACTTTTCGTCAATACCTTTGGAGACGAACTCACTCGTTCAGTATTCATCCGCTCATAGTTCTTCTCCAATGTTTGTACAACTTCAGTCTGCTCCGTTCTCTCCGTCTTATCAGAGTCTCTGAGTCTCTCAGAGACATTCTCTTCACTCGGCGCACATGGCAAAAACGCTGAATACGGCGCGTTTGCTATTGAACTTACTATCGTGTGTATTCTCCTGCACGATATCGCCAACGCCTTCTTCGATTCGACATCTAGCAGATCCAAGATCTTCCGGAACACAAGGGAATTAAACCCAAGTAACATCGTCGTCGGATTCGCTCGTGGCGTTGGTGTCGACGATTCGCTCCGATGGTGTTCCTTCAAATTACATATGAACTGCGCGATGTTAATAGTCATTTGTGTCGAGTTCGAGAGAAATGTCACATTATACCTCATCGAGTGTTTTGTGAGGATCACCGTAGCATTACAAATCGTGTTTGAAGTCATCTGGATGACGGCGAGACCTGGCGTGAGAGTCATCGTGCTAGTAATAGGGTCTTCAAATAATTTGACGGTGAAGACTACTGTATTTCCTACACTTTTCACTATCCGACACTCAGTAAAGAGAGCCAAAATAGCGTCTTCAGGCTTGTGGGGGACATCAAAGCGTCTGTTATAGACGCCTTCGACGGAAAAGATCTTGCCGTCTCCGATGTACTTAAAGTTGTCGACGTGGCCTTCTAAAGCACTTCTCTGAGGGATGTCTTCAGTCACCGTGTCGCTATTTTTTTGAGACGTAAATGAATTCGCTTGGATGGCATCAACGCCCTGAAGTCGACTTAATGGGTCATACAAGTAGCTCTTCTCTCCTCTTTCAAGCAGTTCGAGTTGGTCATTCTCAAAAGTTTGTCGTTGTAAGAAGTCGAAGGGCTGTGTTTTATCCGAAGGCGGGGACTTCAGATGGGGGACTTGTTCTCTTCTCTGTCGAAAAGTGCGAGGGGGTTGTCTTTGAATGGCATGGGGGTGAATCGCTATTTGGTCTTTTTCAGACTCAAAAGAATCACTGCGACGCGGCGTGTATTGTTCGTTGATTTGTTTGAATTGCTTGATGTAATTGATCTTGTCCAGTTTGTTGTCCATCGTATGGTCTTCGAAGTTCCAGTCTATGGAAATCAACCCTTTACAGTAAGTCAACACAGTTTTACAGAATTTTTCCTTTGTCTGAAAGGTATTTTCTTTAAAATATTAAACAAGTATTGTCTCGAAGAAAATCGAACTCTTTTTTTAAAAACTTCAAAAGGTCAATTTTTTGCACTATTTTTGTGTCAGAATTGCCTTCAAAAAAGACGCATATCACAGGCTTTTCAAGTGTGTCACTTCTGGTTCTTTATTAATAGCTATTTATAGAAAGAGATTAACTTAATCATTTCAAATAGTTTTTTACTATATTAATTGTTAAATGGTTTTTTATATATTTTTTGGTTAATACGCTTATTTAGGAACTTTGTGTGATTTTTAAATTGAATGACTTTTTATTGTTTTATAAATAGTTTTGTATAGTTATTTAGTAGTTTTGGTATAAGAAATTGTCCACTTTTTCTTTATTGGTTGTTGAGAATAAATACCCGTTATGATACGTCCCATTTCTGTGAGATAATTAAAAAGTACACTTTTTTGATGACGGTAATTATAAATTTGTAACAAGTCGAATTTGTTGAACTTTTTGTTTTTGGTTAGTTGGATTTGATATTAATTAATAAAAGTAGTTTAAATATAGTTTAACTAATTTGTGTGTTTTTTTCCATTGATATTAATATAGTAAATATTACCAACCATTTATGGTAGTGAAGGTCGAAATAATAACAATAATTTTTCTTAAAAGAAAGAATTGAAATACGAACATATTGTTACACTAAACTTTTAATAAAACAGAACTATCTTATAATACTCGATCTCCAATTCAAAAAAGAGTCTTACTAAATAATTCAATTTACTATTTATTCGTTTTAACAAAATATTAAAACATTTTAAAACAAAACTACAAAAATGTTATTAAATACAAAGAAAAACATTTTTATAGGAAAATGTTATACATATCAAAGAAGTAAATGTCACATATAATCGTTGATTAGAAAGAACATTGGCTTTCAGAACATCCATACGACAAGCACCCATCTTTAAAGAAAGTCCTGAGTGGTTCGGCGTTACAAGAGGCTTCGTCAATTGCTTTTTTTTCAGTTACCAAACACCCACATACATCATCTACAGACATACATTCTGTTGCTTGATTAATTGCATTTGTGAACATATCATTGTCACAGAATTTAGAATAACAAGCTTCTTGTTAATTTATGTGACTCTCTTCATATTATCTCGACTAACAAACCCAACACAAAGAACGCAAACACAAAAAATCTCATTTAATCATTTTCAGTTCAGCTTCTACTTTTCTTGTTCCCTCCCTTTTTCTTTCTATTGTGTTGATCGTTTTCGAACCTTCATTTAATATATAATAGTATTATAATTAATTATTATATTATAATTAATTCTATTTAATTTTAATATAATATCTTATAATAATTGTATTAGAGTTGTATTATTTCTATTATAACAATACTAAAACATATAGTTTCTTACAAGTTATCATCTTCGCCCAATTGGCTCTTCATTGTATTTTCAATCTCATCCAAAGTATAGTCGACTCTATCTGCTTGCCTTTCAATGTTTTCTATATTAGAGCGAGTAGTTTCATTAACTATTACATTTCTATACGTCTCATTCACAACCGCTATAGCTTCTCTAACTACTGCCAAAGCTTCTTTTGACGCATTGAAGAGATTAGTTAACACTGTTGAGTTGATGTTCTCGTCTTGAAGTTCGTAGAAGAAGATATGTAAGAATTCGACCAACTTCTTCTTCTCGAAAACAGTGAGTTTAGGCGCAAGTCGCTCATTTCCAATATCATTCGACCCACACAGTATTTCACTTGTTTTCTTCACAATCAACTTCGCGCTTTCGTCGTCTGTTTCCTTCAAGAAATTGAAGCTCTCGTCCAAGTAGAATTTCAAGTCCTCCGTCTTCCTCTCGATTTCGTCAATCGCAATTTCTATCGCACTCATGCGATAAAACTGTTCCTTTTGCGTCACTTCTTGTCTTCTTAAGACGCCGGGTAAGACCAAATTGGTTTCCAAGACAATTCGATTTTTGAACCAATTTGTGATGACCGTGGGATCCTTCCCTTCATCACACATCAAACAATCAAAATTAAATTTTGACGCGTATTGCACAAATTTTCCTTTCTCATAGAGTGGGGTGATCTGTGAGAACACAATATGACACTGATTTTCAGCATCTCCAGATATCGCGAGTTGTTCGTTCATTTTGTCGAGTGACGAGATGATGTGCCGCTCCCCTTTAAAACTCTTTGGGACGACGTCTTTGATCTCTTTGATGAGCATCGGCATCTTATTCCGCGTCGACACGTAGATGTACTTCTTCCCGTCCAACTTCTCTCCAAAGACTTTCCCGACAAATTGGACGTAGTAGAACGCCAAGTTATCTCTCCCGAAGTGGTCACTGTTCCCCGAGACTAGTGTCGAGTACATTCGATTCACATAGTCATGTGTTTTCCCAAGTTCTTTAATAGTCCTCTTCTCGATATAATAAGGTATTAAGACGTTTGCAGTCACTAAGCCATACCAAGCTATATTCCCTTTCTCAAAATCGTCCGCCGCATTTGAAATGTGCTTGATCATCATCTCCTCTGTGAAATGCGCTGTGAATTGCGAACTTGGCGCAGTCGAAGTGTTCTCGACAAAATTCCCAAACGTGGCGACAAACTCCGAACAGTCGACCGTTCGCGTGTTGTTCTCTAACAGGCGATGAATGAACAAAACCATGTGAATCTCACACATCCCCGCCTCGACATATTGCCCGCGGTCCCGATGTTGTTGTGCAAGTCGTGTCATCCATGTCAGATGGAGTTGTGGGGCTGCTACGTAATTCATCGCAAAGCCTTCAAATCGTTGGAGGACCAATTGGGGGTCGCTCGACTCTCTTTTCTGTGTGTTAATGTCTTCCAAGCTGTCCAAAACATTGAGAATGTCGTCTTCCACGTTCTTCAAGTCTTTATTGAAATTGTCTCGTTGTCCGTACGACAAGTCGTGGAAGCAATCGAGCTTAATACAGTCTTTAGAGTCCATAAAGAAGCTTAAGACGTCTTTTAACTCGACTAACTTATTATTAGACTTTGGAAGGGAGACGCTTCGTGGGATCTTTGCATTATAACTAATCTTGAGAGGCTCCTTTTCTTTATCAGGAAGACCTAATAAAGAGCACCGTGTTAAGACTGTTTGTGTGATTTGTGTTAAGTCGCAGTACCTATTCAGTTTGTCGATCTTTTGCTCTTCAAAAGATAACAACTTCTCGCGTTGTTTGGAGATCTCTTCAAGCACTTTTGGATCAATGGTGTGATCTTTTTGCTTGAAGTAAGTGCTTAGGTTTGTTATAGAAGTGTTGCCAGTGACCGCCTTAGTATTCTGAAGTCCCTGCATTTTATCGGCGTCGTCGCACAATTTGTCGGTGAACTTGAAAAAATGCACAAAGAGGTCTGCGTACTCTTTCCGGCTCTTTTCGAGGGTTTTCTCTTCATTAAATTGGTCGACATACAACTCCGTCGACATCGCCAACATCTCAAAGTCCTTCACGTTGATTTTCTTCTGTAAATACTTAAACCCTAACGGCAATTTCTTCTTCCGCAAGTGTTGTAAGATGTCGACGCACTCGTTATACCTCGTCTCAACGTCTTTCAAATGTGTCGACAAGTACTCGTAGACCCCTGCCAATATCTCCAAGAAGTCATTTGATTCTTTCATAGCAACTTTATTGAGTGCAGAGTACATCCCATCCCACATGAAGACTCCAATGATCGTTTTATTAAACTTAGTCTCTTTCAAATACCACTCCTTCATCGCTATCACTTCGTAATCATTCTGCTTGACTTTTTCAAGTAAATTGGTCGTCAGTTCAAGTGTCGATAAGACCAAACTTATCACGTCTTCCCATCCGTTGTATGTGATTTCCCACGTCGGCTTCATCCCACCCATTTTCACCTTCTTTGCATTCAACTTCTTCGAACACGTCGAGAACAAGTCGTCTAGCATTTTATAGCGATACATCGAATCTTCCAAGAAATGGCCGGTGATCGGTTTCGATGAGATCTCCACTGCAATGTCGCTGTTCATCGTCTCAAGAGTCTTCTCAAAGTGTTTCAGTTTCTCTGTGTAGATCAAGTACTCCGTGTCATACGACGTTCTCACATGAATTAATTGGTGGACCAGTTTAATTCTGTTTTGGTGCAATTGAAGCACCTTTTTGACACATTCGCCCATCTCCTGGGATGTCACTGGAAACAGTGGATTGACCAGCAGCCCCATTTCTTTTAACACTTCGTCAAACTGACAGTACTTTTCTATGTGACTTTTTATCCCATTCACTCGTTTGTTCTGCTCTTTCTCGAGGTCTTCAATAATGTTAATCAACTGACTGTCCTCGCACGTGTCATAATCAATAGCTTGGACTTGCAAGTTAGTTTTGACCCAAGTAAAGAGTCTATTCCCCACCGTCTTATTCTCGTCGCACTGCTTCTCAAACCTCTTCATTTGTTCCTTCTCCGTCACACAGAGCTTCTCCAGTTCGACAATAGTCTCCTCCAAGTGGGTGTACGAGTTCCGAAGTTCTTTCTTCTTTTCCTCTAAAAAGAGGTAGAATGAGTCTTTGGGACACAGTTGAATGTGTTCTATAAATATAATCCACTTCCCTACCATCTTAAAGATTTCATTCGTCTTCAGAAGTCCACCCACTTCACTTTTAAAGACGTCGTAGCCATTAATAACAGTCGTATTCGCTGTCGTTGCAAATTCAATGATATCTTCAAAGACGAGCATACAGTCTTTGACAAAGGTTATAAAGACATCCAAATTGCCACCATCGATCGCTCGATATATCTGTTGCACTTTCTGAAGTGCTTCGATCTTGCGACTCCCTTCATCTAATAACAACTCGACGCACCGTTGCAGTTTCAAGTCGAAGGTGTAGTGATATTGACTGGAGAGCTCCAGAAGTCCTTTCACCGATGTTTTGACATTTTGGACGTTCGCCAAATTGAGTTCCGAGAGTGCTGAAATAGCGCTGACGATAGTCGAGACGGTGTTTCCCGTAACGATGAAATTAGTCTTAGCGAATGTGAAGAGCAAATTATTAGCGAAGTCTCTTTCCATGACTTCCTGTGAGTTAGAGAGACTGAGCAGATTCTTAAGTAAATTAATGCACATTTGATTTGGCTTCAAAAATAAGAACTCTCGATATGTAGTTAACACAATGAATATGAATTTGTAGAGGGACACCAAATATGATGGTGTCGTCTTGATCTTAAATAACACATCCGACACGATCTCTTGTATTCGGTCCATCGCTTGTGTCTTATCATCTCTTATTAACACACTAATCATGATTTCTAAGTAGTCCATTGCTATCAAAGAAACGTCGGTGATCATATTAAGGACATTCGGATCCGCTGTCTCACAACTTGAAACGGTTATAGTCCGCGCACCAGCTGAACAACTCAAATTTGAAAAGACCGGGGTCGCCGACATCTTTGCGTATTCCATCGCTGCACCAGACCCACTTCCTCGTGGGGAAACAGACCGTCTTCCTTCCTCGTCGTCGTCATATTTCTTCAATTTAAGACGGTCCAATCCGACTCGAGGGGTACTTGGTTCTTTGACATCGTCGTCCTTTTTATACTTCGATGAGAGTCTTTTGTTCTGTGAGTTATTTTTGACGTGCATTTTAAGTGATGATCCAATTTTGGAGAGTCCCGGACTTGGGCTTCTCGCGATGTTTGGCGCGCTTTGTGTTTCTATGCTATTCAACAGTGTCTGCAGCTCTTTTAAATACAGCTTTGGAGCGTCTGGTAGTGTTTGCATAGGGAAGACACTGAACAAGAGTAACGCCTTTCTAATATGGACTAACAGAGTGTTTAACATTGAAGGTAAGTACTCAGCGACCAGCCATTGGTCCAACAAGTTATCTTCCAAGTTCTTTAAAATGAAGAAGAAGATCATATAGAGGCACTCGATATCATTCAAATCAGAGGTACAATCCTTTTTCCTCCATTCATTGATCTTCTCGGAGTCGTCAAGAAAGAAGAGGACAAACGGGAACATCATCCCGAAGAATCGTTCTCGGTCGTGTTGTGACGAAAGGCTCTTATCTAAGTCAAATTTGTTCATTAACAAGACCAGCTCGTGTAACGCCATTTTCGAGATAAGTTTGTCTTGGTCTAAAATTAACACAAAGAATTGCCTTAATATGATGAACATCAACGTATGGCGCTGCGCTATCGTATCATTCAGTTTGTTAATCCCTTTCACTTCCAAATTCTGTGGCCCATTCAATTGAAAGATGTGGTCGCCCTCCGCAAGAACTGATATGAATTCGAGTCGTAACAGTCGCGAAAAAGAACTCGAAGACCTTCCTATCACGTCTCTGGACATCTTACAGATGTTGTCCAAGTGTGAGATGACCAATTTCGTCGTGTCGTCGTGTCTCCATAACATCGCAAAGTCTCTAATGAACTCCGCGTAGAACAAATTTGCTTCTCTGACGACTAAAGGGTCGACAAAACTGAGTGCAGAGCAATAGACGATGAAGTCCGAGCACATATCGATATTCTTGACGAGATTTGCACTAATAATTTTAGCGTCCTCTCCACAGCAGAAGGTGTGGAAGTTTGGCAAATTGAACGCGTTGTGATCGTTATAAAACGCGATGAGCGATTTGATTAACAGCGCAAAGATGATCCAAATGTACTTCAACCGTTCCGTTGCGTTCGTTTCACTTCTATCAAAGATGATCGGCAACGACGCCACTATGAACATACAGTTATAGACGTTCTCGTCCGTTTTAACTCGGACAAAGTGATTGATGGCATAGACTACATTCTTGTTTTTATACACCGAGAAGCTCTCCTTCTTCTCTTCCTCCACGTTCTTGTTGACATCAAACACTTTGAATAGCTTAAACATTGAGAAGATCTCTTCTCTATTCCTGTCTTGTAAGATTCTGAGACATCGATGTAACACAGAAGGTAGAAAGTGTATCATTTCAGTATACAAGTCAGGGTACAGTACCGTATCTACCGGCGCATTGAAGTACAAAAAGTCCGTCAAGACTCTTTCTGTGGGATATACCGTCGAGACCACATTAATAGTAACTTTTAGATACATTTTAGATTGGTCATAGTATTCATTAGTCTTCAAGTAATGGTCATTCATCTCTTTCATAATTCTCAAAGTGTATTCCTTGTTTTCCACGACTCTTCCATTCTCATAGAGAGGAAGTTTGGCAAAGAGAGGTCTTCCCTCGACTCCGTCGTCGGTCCCAATATCTCTTACACAGAACAATAAGTGATGGGTTGGTGTTAAAGGAAATGGAAGTTCAAGTTTGATCTCATCAGTGAATTTGCCGACCTTTTCTGTCGCCACTGTTGTTGTTAAAGACGTCTGCATATCAACATGGCAACTCGAATTGTTCGGAAAAATCACTGGCAAATTCCCTGTGATTTCCCCTGCAAATTTCGCGTCGGTGTCACGACAATACACCGTGATCAAACACCCGCCTCTCTTCCTCTCCTTTCCAAGACAAAGTTCTGTTGGGTAGCAAAACAAGAAGTTTCGATAGTCCGTGAAGATGTCTTCGCTGTCTTGTAATGACAGATTTGTCAACGATTTGATGAAAATGGGCTTTTCTTCGTGTTCTTGGTTATTAAATTCACTCTCCCCATCAACGTGGACCAACTCTTTCTTCGACGCTTTAAATTTGAATGTCCACTCTCCACACAATTTCCACTTGTCACACTCTTTGATCATCCAGACGATGTCCTTCACCTCATTTGGGGGTTTATACAACTTAAACAGTTCGTAATTCCCTGTGAAGAGAATTTGCTTGGAAGAGAACATCAACAGTTGGTACTTCTTTTGTTCGAAGAATTTGGCAGACTCCTTCACTCGATCACTGTACTTCTTCACGTTCTTTGCATCGCGTTTGTTGTCATTGGCGTACACCTCCCGCGCAAAAGAGATATCTGCATCCATCGCCTTAAAGACTTGGAAGACGACAATGAATGCGACAGATTTGTTGATGATCTCCTGTCGCATCACAAACGACGATAACGGGACGTTTAGAGTTGATGCTTGAAGATCACTTGGGTCGACATTAAAGCAGTAATCTGCACTGAGTTTAATGTAATTGGTATCATAAAATGAGAGTCTGCAGTGCAGTTTTTCTATATTAAGTGGCAGTTTAATATTAACCATTTCAATGACAGACGGCTTCTTATACTTCTTTAGTACTTCGATGTCCTCGTCTCTCGCATTCGACAGATTTGTGGAGTACAAAAAGTCGGTGTGCGATATTTTCTTGTCGAAGAACTCAAAGAAGTTCTTTGCCTTTTTCCTTCGTTGTCCGACTTTGTTAGTGATTGACTGAAACAGTGAGTCGATCGAAAACAGTTTTTTCAAATTATCGTTCTTTGGGACGAAGTTATCTGGAATTGTTGTGAAGACTGATCTGAATGGAATGTGTTTCTTATATATCGAAATAGTCTTTCCAAAGATCACATTATACATATCACAGTGAATCGGATCTCCTTTCTCCGGTGGGATTAAGTCGGGGTACATGATCGAATGGAATTTATCTAACTTCTCGATGACAAAACAGTTCTTGTCTAATAACTTGTACTGCGAATCAACTGGAGAATCCTCTGTAAATTGACTTTCAAAGACTTCCAAGTCCGATTGCGTGTTTTCTTTCTATTTCATGAATACCAAAATTCATCAACATTTCAAAATAAAAATATTTTACCGGAATGAAAAGGGAAATAATCACTAACGTACACAGTATCTGAGATCCGATATAAGATACCGGAAATCAAGTTAAACAAAATTCATGAAAACAACAAAGAAAATTTCAATCTGTACGATCTCATTCCGATAAAAATAAATAAATAAACAAACTTTAATTTCTTCCAAATTTGCGGTGATGTACTTATGAAAAGCGATAAATTCATTTCTTTGAACTTTGTACGCTTTCTCCAAGAAGTTTTGTCCACAATGGTACTTAATTGATTCTTCACTTAAACAGATCTTCCACTCTCCTTCAATGTATTTTCTGAGTTGATACACGTCAAGTTCTTTATTATTTTCTGTGTCGTAGAGCTATTAGTTATATATGTTATATTATACATTTACATATCAATGACTTCCTTTAATTTATTTAAGTCGTTAAGCATTAAGTATTATATACTATATAATATATTATAGTATATTATATAGTATATATTATGTAGAAGTATGTGGAGGATATTGAGATATACAAACGTCGAACTTCGATAATATCTTTAAACTCGTTTCAGTCTTCTGAATTGGGTTTGACCCCCGCTCTGGTGTAGCCATCACGACTTTTGTCTTCCGGAAGTCGGTTTCGAAAATTTGACTCAGCACACTCGTGTCGAGTTGATGCTCCATCAAATCTGTTTTTTATCATCTCCAAACCAACTTGTTTTAGTTACTTAATGTTCTCAAAACTAATGCATATAGTTTATTATAAACTACTGGTTCTAATTCTTTTCACTACTTTTATATAAAATTCTTTGCATTACATTTTCTATAAAAAAAATGGAGTAAAATTCTTGTGACTATTCTTGGTATCCCAAGCAACAAATTATTAATATTATAAATTAATTATTATGAACTAATGAAAAGGCAAGTTTTAGTTTTTCATTTCATTTTTACCAACAAGAATTGATCCTATTAAAACAGTTTCCTATCTTATCTGATCTCATCTTATTTATTTATATAAGAAAAAATTAACTGAAATTTCTTTCTATCGAAAATATTTTGTTTTACTGAATTTCGAGTTGTTATTAATTGTCACACTCAATGTGTTGGATTATTCTAGTAAATAGTATTATTATCATTCTATTATAAATAACATTGTTAAATTGAACTATTATTAATAGTTCACAAGTTTATTAAAAACGCCTATTCGATCTGTGTCTGTCTCAATTTTCAATAATTATTCAAAAACAAAAACGTTCGTTAGGCAGATTTTTTAATTGTGTTGTTACCGAAACATAACTGATGTGTTATTTTTTTTGACTTTAATTTGTATCATTTTATATATAACAAAATTATTATTCATTATAGTATTTAAAAAGAATCAACACTTATTAAGCTTTTTAAAGTTTATAATTCTGATATGGTAAATATACTAAATTACAATCAAAAAAAAGCCATTCACCTGTTTTTATATTTATAATAAACCTTATAGTATTTTTAATTATACCATACTCCAATTATTGTATAATACATTTATAGTTTTTGGTATTAGTTCTTGTACCAAATATTATTAGTTTAATTAATTAAAATGACTTTAATAAAAAACTCAAAAAAGTGAACGACTTGAAGTGGTGATGTCTGCAAATTACAAAAATTTTGTGTTAGCGCTTCAGAGTGCAACAAGTAACTCCCAAACCTCTCGAGTCTGTGAGGAAGCACTTTCGACGATCAAAACAAATGAAACGAATGATTGTTTAGTCACCGAGATCCTCCAAGAGATCATCACGTGTTCGTCGTTGGGGCATTCCGTTGACCAATACAAATTCTTTGTAGTTTCGAATGCGTCAAAGAGCGAAATTTTACTTCCGGCGACACAAACGTTTTTAGCGGTAGTCTCTCCACATGACGAATTATACTTACTCTTACATACAAACACACTGCAACTCTCTTTAAGAGACCCTTTCACGCACCCAACTCAAACTGTGTGTGCCTTAAAAACGTTAAAGATGTATGTGACAAAAGTTACTGCGGAACAATACTTCGATTGGTGTTTCAAAGCAATTCAGTTGATCGAAGACCGCAAAAACTCCAAAGACGTTGTTATACTCAGATCTTTCATATCTGTCCTTCCACTCTTTAAAGACTATATCTCTCCTCCACAAACAGAGAAGATCATTTGTGTCTTAATTAAACTTCTTTCTCATAAGAGTCTTCTCATTGTCGAAGTGACTGTTGCTGTCCTCAAAGTGTTTTGTCGCGGGTCATCATACCCATCTGTTCTTCTCCCATTAAAAAGTCTTTTAAAACTCCTCACGACGTGTAAACCAGTATCGGAGATATCGGGAATTACATGTCCATATATCGTGTCAAATATATTAAAAACGCTTTCTACCTTCGACAAGAACAAAATTGAGTTAGCGGAACAGAGTGACAAAGGTGAAAAGACACTTCTTGTGGTGAAGAAGCTCGCAGAGAAGTTTTCGACGAATTTTGAAAATCCCATGTCGTTAAATATTTTCATTGACGTGTTAAAGTTCCTCCACAAAATGTCTTTGGAAGAGTGCGAGAAAGTAGTTTTAACATGTGACTTACAGAGTTTAAGAATGTCACCAAATGGGATGGTCAACAGGGCTTTTCTTCAGATCATTTCATACTCGCAGAGTCTTGTTACCACCTTCCAAACTGATATTTTAGCAATGTACAATGGAAGTGATCAACTCACATCAGTTCAAGCTCTTGATTTGATTCACTCGAACATTCAAATTACCGTGCCACCTTCTCTCGTGTTATACAACACTTATGTGTTCTCTCAACTCGAGAAAGCAGTCACAAAACGCATCCAGAAAATGACTCCTCCACTTAGTCCAGACATTGTGATCTCTTTACTTAACTTATGTCCTTCCCGTGGAGTGCTCAAGACGGTTCTTCAACTTCCAATCGAGACTTCAGTGCTCTTAACAACCTACCCAGCAAACATTATATCTCGGAAGTACGCTATTGCTCAAGGTTTTGTATGTACTCCACTCACTCAAGACGAGCTTTTATTACAACTTTCTGTAGACACCATAACAGGAAAGTCGACGCACATGACCTGTGGTACAACACACAGTGTTTCTTACTCTCAGCGTGTCCACGAACAAACTGTTTTCCTCTCAAGTTCTATGAAACAATGACATTCTTCTATTTCCTCCCTTCCTTCTCTTCTTTTATGTACAAAAAAAAACTCCAAGAAACCCTGCAAAAGACAAAAGTCGATCATTTATCACTTGTTAAGCACGATACCTTCATAAGTTTCCTTGAACCAGTTAATAGCGTCATCCTTTCTAAGGAGGTGATCCTTTCCAATTCTGTTTTGGCCTCTCTTTCTTCTCGCAACTCTGAACCCGGGTCTAGCAAGGACAACGTAGAAGTCCATACCATAAATACCAACTTGTGGGTCATACTTCAATCCCAAATCGATGTGTTCTTCAATACCAAATCCAAAGTTCCCGGTGTCTGAGAAGTTGCAGTTCTTCAACTCAAACTCCTTGACCTTGAGGCCTTTCTCAAGAATTTCAACGGCCTTCGACCCTCTGACGGTAACGTGGCACGCAATTTGGTCGTTTCTTCTAATCGAAAACGCTCTGACTGTGTATCTAGCTTCTGAGAGGACTGGGGTCTGTCCGGTCAACGTCTCAAGCACTTTCGCGGCTCTAGTAAGTCTATCGCCCGACTCTCCTACGGAAATGTTCAGGACGAGCTTCTCAATCTGAATCTTACGCATCACATCGGACTTCTTCGCGGCCATTAGAGAAACTGGGGTTTGCAAGTCCAGTTCAACCCTTGCTCCTTTCATTTCTAGTTTCTTTACTATTCCCTTTAACTCTTTTTTCTTCGGCCATTTTCGTCCGTTTCCTCACCTGTCCACTTTTTGTGGAAAAATCTAGGGTTCATGAACTTAAGAAATGAAAAAACCAATCCTTCACAATCATTGGATTATTTAAACTGCTCACGGCTCTTGTCGACCTGCTCGGTAATGAATGCAATCACCGACTGTGCTTTGTCCAGTGCTATCTATCGGTTATACTTGATTTTTTGAATTTTACTATAATTAATGGTTTGATTATTATAATTGAATAGTTAAAAGGGGAGCAAGGGAAACAAACATCGCAACAGTTCTGGATCACCGTCATCGCGATGGGCGTCCCACTCTTTTGTACTGCGCAGACCTCGCCCTCCTTGTTGATAGCAATAGTCAGCCTACTCTTACAAATTGTTTCTTCTCGATCGGACGGGTCCATAAGAGGGATTCCTTCGTCAGTGATACCGAAGGAGATAGTGATAGGGATGTGGTGAATAGAAAGTGGCTTTGGCTTTCTTTCTTCGACCGTCAAAATTTTGACATCAGTTCCACAGATCTCGACTTCGCGTTTCAGCGCAGTGAGTAACGACGAGATCGCAGTCATTGCGACTAAGTCCATTAAGTTGCCCGAGTCGTTAATGATGTTAACACACACAGTAATACTCCACACTAACTTCCCTCGTACTAAGACTAGTCCATCAATGTCAATCGCTCGAGTGGATAATAAAGCCCTCTCAACTACTCGTCCTATCTCTATCAAATCTCTCGGGCCCTTTGCATCCAAAAAGTCGGGATTCGCCATTTGGAGGAAGTTCACATTGACATGGAAGATGCCAGAGTCACGAGTCCCAATCGGTGTGACAGCTTCTATTAATGTCTCACCAAACGCTCGACTGTCTCCAATATGAAGATCAACACTCCCAGGCTCACGACACAAAAATTTGACATCACGGAACTCGTCGAGATGGCGCCCATCAATACGAAGGTTTTTCTTGATCAGTGACTCGATGTGTTCCATTTGGGTTTTGAAGTTTGTTGTTCCTTTGACGGAATTTTACCATAAAATTATAATTGTTTTTCTTATATTTATTAATTTACTTTTTTTAATAAATTTAAACTAATATAATTAACATTTTAATAACTTTGTTTGTTTATTACTAAAACTATAAAGAATAAATTAATAAATTAATAAAAATTTTATTTTTTTTAGAAAAAAAATTTAACATTTTTGAATTATATTATCTAATAATTTTAATTAAAAAACAAACTACATGTATTTAATTAAATACAATTAATATATTTTAATTATATTATTAATATTTTAATTATATTAAATTAATATACATGTAGTTTTAATTATAAATTACAATAAAATAAACTATACATGTTTATTAGAATGTTTAGTATTGACTGTATCGACTAAGAAGCAAGACAAAACACTAACTTAACACTAGACAATAGTCAATTCACCTCTCAAATTCTGTTTCATCATCACTCGGACATTTTCTGGAGACAACCCTTGAGCGAGTAACCACGTCAATTTAGTAAAAGCGGCTTCAATAGTCATATCACCCCCTCCTATAATACCAATTGACTTATATCCATTTGCCGCCGCATAATCGTCCAAGTCTACTCTTCCCATATGGCATTGAGTGACATCGACGATCACAACACCTCTGTTAATTGCTTCTCTCATTGGTTTTAAGAACTCTTCTTTGTCCGGCCCATTGCCCGCACCAAATGCAGCTAATATGACTCCTCTGACGTTGTTATTTAATACAGCACTAATGTATGTTGAAGTGATTCCTGGGTGTAAATAGATCACAATTATCCCATCAGTGACTGTTGGTATAAATCTCATGGGGTCCATCGGGTTACCCCTGATATGTGGCCAGTCGATGATAGTCTCTGCGCCAAACATCCCAAGAACAGGGTAATTCGCACTATCAAACCCTTCATAACTATTTGCTCGCAACTTTTGTACGCGATTTCCTCGATACAAGTGGCCGCCAAATGTCACAACGACCTCCGGAATTTCTAAGTCTCCTGCAGTTTTCAGTGCTGATATTAAGTTGTTTGTCGCGTCGGAGTACGGCTCACACAATGGAGTTTGTGCTCCAGTCACAACAATCGTCTTATTCAAATTCTCAAAGAAGAACCCTAAGACACTTGCAGTGTACGCTAATGTGTCGGTGCCATGTAATACAATGAATCCATCATACTTGTCGTAATTCTCATTGACTACTACAGCCATTCGAACCCAGTCTTTCGGGGTCATAGCAGAGGAGTCGAGAAGTGGATTTAACTCAATGATGTCATAATAAGGAAGGGTTTCACTCTGGAACTGGGGCATTTGTTGCATCAAAGACTCAAGGTATCCGGCCTGGGGTTCCCACCCTTTATCACCTTTTTTCATTCCAATGGTTCCTCCACTGTATACCATTAATACTCGTCTTGGGTCGTGTTCCCCAAGGACATTAAGAAACAGTGACATTAATATGAGATAAAGCATTTCTGTGTAAGTTTCGAGTTTTATCAAATAAACAATATGTTCCAGTGTCGTTGAGAAGGTTCACTACTTACTCTATTTCTTTCTTGGTGCGGTCTTTTCGTTTTTGGTTTAGAAAGTGGAAGAACCTAAATGAATGATCTTCATTATTTATTCACATTATGGTATAAAGACTCCTTCTTTGTCTTAGAATCGATAATTTATATAGTATTATAATATATAAATTATAATATTCGGCATTATTGATCGTTTGGTTTTAATTAGAATAAAATAGTATATTATACTATATCATTTTAATCATATTCTAAAAGCTTTTTGCCTAATATTTGAGGAAGTGCAAAGTTCGGCAAACTTGACACTTTCTCAAAAATTTAATTATAATTTTAAATAAATCTAAATTAAAAAACAACTATAAAAATTCATAAAAAAACAATAGAAATATTATAATTTAATAGTTATTCAATCATTAAAAACAAACTATTCAAAAAGCCTCTTTTGTTTAAAAAAATAATGGTTATCAATAGAAGATTTTGTTTATTGTCAAAGTTTAAACAAATTTTGTTTCAAAAATAGAGTTCAAAAAATTGGGGTGTAACTAGGTTTTCACACACTCAAAAAATCAAAAAATTAATGTCTAGATCACGTTTAAGATTATTACAAAATTTCCCACCAAAAAGAGAACCGACACAAATAACTACAATTAATAGTTTAATAAATTCAAACACCACTAACAGAAATTTAGATGTTAAAAGACATTCAACACAGCCAACAAGACAAAGAAAAAGAATTGAAAGCGAATTACAAATATTCAACACATAACAACAAGAAATAAATGAACAGCCATTCACGTTCACTTTAATTCCAATTCAAGAACAAAGGCAAAACACCTACACCGAACGAATGTTCATGGTTCAACAAAAAATGTTAAACAGTTCAATTATAAATGAAAATATAATTATTGAGCAAACGAATGGGTACCAACACGATGATGGAATTGATTATTCTTTATCTATAACTTTAATATCTTCATACCCAAAATTCCCTACAAATGATATTAACAAAATTGATTATCCAATAAAAGTATTGGAAACAAGAAAACGTGTTTCTGTTGAATCTTTAACAGGTTTTAAAAATGAAGAGTTTGATGAAATATTTACAATTATTACACATAATAAAAGATGGGATCTCAATGAACACTGTTACAAAATACAACGATTGGATAAAACATTTTTAATATAAATATAATAGCATTTTAAATTGCAAAGAATTGATGTTGTTACTTCTAACTTTTATAAAACATGACATCAATTACATTTTGTTATATGAAGTAATGGACTACAAATATCATTGTAATAACAACGAAAATGTCATTATATCAAAAAGCACCAAAAGTAGTTTTGTTGAAAAAATATAGAAAAAGCTTTGTCATTGTATTCTTCAAATTTTAAAATATCATTTATTGATTCTCTAGCGAAAATTCCTGATAAATCTCGAATTGATCTAGCTCGTGGCAGACATAAAATATACAAAGATCTTATACCAGAATTGGAAATTTGTTTTTATATAGTTGATGGAAAAGATCAAAGTATTTTTTTCCAGAAGATGTACAAATGAAGAAAATATAATTATCAAAGACAAATCATATTATACATATAAACACAACAAAAGTGGATTGAAGACTGAGGTTTATGTCAATTCTGAAGGTTTGGCAGTCAAAGTTAGAACACCAATACAATGCTCTATGAATGATGTTGTTGTCTATAAAACAAATTGTGATCCACAACTTGTCAAATCGGGAGAATAAGCATTGGCAGATGGCGGATATAAAGGTGTTGGACAGACAATAACCCATTATGGAAACACTCAGAAGAAAGAAGTAATTGCAACTTCAAAACAATTTAATGGTATCGTCCAATCCATTAAAGATGACATCCACATTCAAATGAATGTTCGTGTCGCATTTGAGGGAAAAATTGAAAACAATAAATTCATAGGTAAAGTTTGTGGTTTTATCACATAGATTAAAATTGAAAATGATATCATTTAAATTGAATTATTAAGTTCATTCGAGTTAATCGGAGGAGAATTGAGAAATGTTAAGTGTAGATTTAATTCTCAAACAAAACTTGATATTATATTTACAGAACATTTTAACTGTCTTGTGCATTTAATTAACACCAAACAGCTTGATAATGTTGAAATTTCAATTGACTTAACCAATTATTACTTTGAAATGGCAACAATTACGACCACTAGAGAATAATATATAATCAAATATGATCCTCAGCTCACAAAGGCATACAATTCTCTTCATTCAAGTATGAGAATTTTGGTGGAAAACCATTTTGGAAGATTAATCACCACTTTTAGTATCATGAGAAAAATTTTTTTTATTCTTTGAAAAATTTTGAACATCTTGTTTATGTTTCCCATTCTCTTTGCAACTATCATATTAACAAAAAAGCATTAATAAAGTTCCCCTTCTATTTGTTTGAAAGATTGTTGTCTGGAGATTATACAACACCAATTGGAACAGCCCAATTAAGAATACCAAAAAACCGCAAGTCATATTCTAAATAAGCTAAGTGGAAAACTTGTCAGGGCCGGAATATTAAATCAACCATACGTTCAAATTGATACTGTTAATGAGTTTGTTGGGGTTGGGGTAAGTTCAAGAGCTGTTGTTGATGTGCCGATTAATGAAATCGAACAAATTGAAACAATCGATGAAAATGAAAATTTGATTGATAATGTTATTATTCAAATAGGAGATTCTGTTCAATTTGTTCCAAGTAATACAGTTGATGTTTTCGCTTTCGGAGAAGAAGTCATTGAAGAAACACAACCAGAACTTTGTATAATTCCAATGGATCTCGAGTGAACTGTATTATGTTAATGTGATTTCTTTTGTTGAATACACAAGTTTTGAATAAAGTGTGTTGTTTTGTTGTGTGATACTTCTCATGTTTAAATTTAAGTGAGTTTATTTTTTTATATTAAAAAATTAATTTATTTGTGTCGGCATTTCCAGAATTTAGTAAAAATATATTATAGGTTATTAGGTTTTTTATTCCCATAAAAACATATTATAAATATTTAATCATTAAATAATAAATTATTTTACTTAATTATAATTATTGTTTTTCTTTTTATTCCGAAAAGGGAATCAATATATTTAAATTGTAGTAACTAAAAATTATAGTTTAAACAGAATCATAATAATTTGGCGAACTTTAACTTTCCTCATTATTCACCAAAAATTTAGGTTAATAATAGTTTGGCAAACTGCTATAATACTTTAATTGTAATAATAAAATTTATAAATTATTGTATTATATTTATAATATTGGTTTATTAAAATAAATATAAATAAAAATTAATCATTTTGAATATATTCATTTCTGTGCTTTTTTCTTTATTATGTCGGGTGGTATTATTAATTATAAAAGTGTTGGTAAGATATAATAAAATTTGTATTATTATTATTATTATTATTCAAAAATCTATATTATAGTTATATGGAACTATATTAAATAATATTTTTTCTATAATATATTTTTTATAATATATTTTATTATAATAAATATTCAAGTAAATAGTATAAAATAATAAGAATAAATAAATAAATGATTTGTGAAGTCAGATGTCTTCTTCATACACATCAATAATACATTTGTTCTCTTCTTCGTCTTTCTCTAGTATTTTATAAGACACTTCACCACCATTGAGTCTTCTTTGTGAGACACTTTTCGAGTAATATTCAACAAAGTCTTCACTTCCAAATTCCGGCTCATCCAAAATACAGATATATACAGTGTTCATGATTTCCATTAACAGTCCTTGGTGTTCTGGGTAATAGCCGTTCTTGTCTTTGTATTGAATACACTTCTTATCTTCTTCAATTAACATGTTATAAAACTTCGTGTTGAATATTTGATCTTCTAGAATAGGAATTCCCCGACTAGCAATCGCCTCGACGATCGTATAGATATCTTGACGAATCAAAGTGCAGTTGTGTTGATAGCTAAAAAAGATCTTCTAGACATTAATACCCATTTAAGTACTCTTTCATATGAAATTGGACTGGTATGTAATACTATAATACTATAATATAATTTTATATTAATAATATATCAATAACAAACTAAAAGAATGTCTAAGACATTGTGAGTGACAAATTCCTCATACACGACCTTGAAATAGGACAGTGTGAGTGCGTTCACTATTTTAATGCATTCCATTCGTACAACAGTGACACACCCACTTTCATAAAACATTTCCCTTTTCAACTCTTCGATATGTTCAAAGAGTAATTGGTACACTTGTGGAAGTGCATTTCTCTGACACTCACAGAGTCCATACACTACACTAGATTGTGTCAAGCATATCGAAAGGAGTTTAAACCCAATCGCTTTGGTACTTTTGCTCTTTGCATCAAAAATGGTGTCGAAGAGTTCTTTGATCTTCTGGCATGAGTTAATGTCAGCCACAAACCTTTCCTCGCACCCGTTAATTGAAGAAATTGCTTGCAAAACGTCGACAATATTCTCCAGCACTTCTTCATCAGGCAATTCACTTCTTATTGTTTCAAGAAACTTTGAAACAAGGAGTCTAACAATGTTCTGTGAATAGAGATACAGCGCTCCAAGTGTGTTCGACCCGTCTTCACTCGTTATTTTGACAATTTCTTTAATAAAATTTTTCAACTCATAATTCGCAATGTGTGAGAGTAAGATGCAAACTATGTCATTCATTGACTTCATCATTTCAAATACCTTTCAGTGAGCATTTGTTTATTACTATTACAATAATAATTATTATAATAATTATTAATTATTATAACAATTATTATAATTATACTATTACATACAACAATGTTGTACTTCAATAATAATAATAATATATAGTAATATATAGTATATATTATAATATAAAATTCTTGTGTGTCTTAACTCGTTGAAAAACAAACATTAGACGTTGGGATATCAAGTAATACAGTAAGTACCTTCGATATAGACGATATTGTCACATTACTCTTTGATGTAATGAACTCTTGAAGGAGCGATGAGATCAAATTAGGAAAGTAAAAGATGTTTTCGGTGATCGCTAGGACATTAGCGCAGACGACTTTAGTTGCTTGCGACTGGAGTTTTGGGTTTGAATCGTCTAATATGTTTTTAAAGAGTTGTTGTAACACACTTTCATCACAAATACTATTAGTTAACTCAATGTACGGAAATATATAGTACTAATCTATAATATATTATAATGTAATTAATAATATATAGTTAAACGTTTCGAACACAAACAATCGTTGAAGGCGCTTGTTGTATCGAAGCTCCGATTGTAATTCCGGCATTGAGAGTAAGCGTTCCAACGTACAGTTCTGTGAGAGTAAGACGGAGTTAATCTCTGATGGTATTTGGATGGCCACACGGTTACTCATGTGTTTGTTTATTACATTTTACTAGTTCATTTTTCTATATAGAAAACTTCAAGTCAGAAGTTACACTACTAGTTAATGGATATCAACACTATTTCAAATATAATGCGTTTTTCCCGAATTTTTATAGAAAACAACAGCTTCTATTCTCATTGTTTTTGAGGTAAAGTTGTGTGAAATGACTTTGAGGTGAGTACCATCGAACGATTTAGGTTGTTTTTTAATAACTAAATTTCCCTGAAAATAAGGCATTTTTATTATAAATTTTAAAACTACTAAATGGTGACAAAGGGATTGTTTTGTCAAATATAATTCCTAACTTTTTTTATTATATATATATATTATAATAGTTATATAAATAATAGCTTAAATGGAAAAAGCGAAATACAAAACATCAATTAACGCATTATAATCTTCTGGTAAACAATAAGTATTATTTCACAACTATAAAAATACAATTAGAAAAAAGAAATTCTCAACTTCGTTTTTTTTCTTTTCTGGATGTGTAAAATGAAAATTCTGGAACAAAAAATCCAAATTATTGTATGTTATATTGCACAAAAAATGTTTATAATACCAGGATAGATATTTCTATTATTAGCAAAACAGCAAAGACCTTTATAAACAGTTTTGTGAATATTAGTAATTATTATAATTATATAATATTTGAAACCATTTTTATCTATAAATTCAAATTATTGTTGAACTATCAATTTATTAAGATTATCACTAAAACATATAATAATATTTTAACACAAATTATTGGTTTTGTTTTAGTTAAAATATAAAGTAAAAAATTGTTCATTTATATAATAACCAATAATTTACTTGTTAATTAATTAGTAACTTTTTATGAAAACAAATTTATTACTTATTAAAAACTAGTTATTTAATTTATATTATATAATTATTTACTATAGTTAATACATTCACAATTAAAAAATGAAGTGGTTTTAATAATATTTATTTTAAAACATTTTTTATTTTTTTTAATTATAATATTAAAAAATTTAGTTTAATTACTATAAAATAAAATATTAACATTTTTTTTCTAAATATACATTTTATAACATTTAAAAAAGTTAGAATTCGCATATTATTTTCTGACCTTTTTATTAATTAACTTATTAATTTGATTATAATAAATAATGATTTAAAAAAAATTGTAAGTAAAAATACTAATAAAATTTTAGTTATTAAAATAGAACCAAGAAATAATAATGAAATTAATTTTTATTAAAAAAAACATTTACATTTTAGTTTATTTTAACTAATTTAAATTACATATAATAGTAACGAAGGGTAGCTTTTTCCATCTAACAACAGTACCACAAACCAGTGAGTAATTATATATTTACAAAACATTTTTCGTCTTGAATTCAGAATAGTTCGACGATCTTATAGAGTATTAAAATATATTAATAACTGAACTAAAAAGACTAATACAGTAAAATGAATAATCACCAGAACAACATTACAGGAAGACACATTTTCCCGACTTTTCCTTCTTAAGTAAAGGTGGAGGAGTTTTTCCTTTAGCCTTGAGTTGTTTAATAGCCTCCTCTATAGCGAGAGGGAGTAATTCATTAAACATTTGTTCGATGCCTTGTCCGGTAGTGACTGAAGTCTTATATTCCTTAAAGTTATGTTCGGTGAGGAACTTATTTTTAATATCGTCGGTGACTGCATTAGGTAAATCACATTTGTTTGCACAGACAATTTGTGGGAGTTGTCCTTTATTAGGCGCAAACCTTTTGAACTCGTTGATCCAATTGTTTTGGATATCTTTGAATGAATCGACACTGGTGGAGTCGTACACATAGATGCAACATGAAGCGTTTTGATATAAAGCAGACGTCACAGTAGCAATCTCTTCAGCTCCACAAGTGTCCGGAAAGACAAGTTTCAACCGTCGGTTAAATGCAGTCATCGACTTGTGTATCGTCTCTTTTAATTCACCACTGTACTCACAGTACTTTTTGATCAGAGACGTCTTCCCAGCTCCTAAAGCACCGATCAAGACGATTTTTACAGGAAGCTCATCCGATGGCCCTTTTTTCGCTGACATCCTTTAACACACTTTTTTTAGTTCACCGTTTTTGTCTTTTCCTCCATTCTCGACTCTTCCGTGCTTTTGGGGTCTTTAGGCACTAATGTAATAACTTCTTGTTTTTCTTTCGTAAAATCAAAATTTGTGGAATACTATTGATATTAACTATATGTATGGTATTTAAAACTAAATATTCCAAAAGAGTTGGTAGATGTTTCAATAGCCATTTTTTGGTGAAAATGTGGAGGAGAAGTGAAAGGCAATATTCTTTTCTGTTCATTCAAGTGGATATAAAATAAACATATAAAAAGTTAAAAAAATCAGAGTGGAATTGTTTGTTTGTTATTTCACTCTTCAAATTATTTTTTTTTATCAAAAAAGTTCATTGGAGAAAAAGTCGAAGAATAAAGAAATTGTATTGAACAAGATTTAATCATAACATACTATTGAATTATTATAGTATTTCTAATTAAGTTAATAGATTTATGACTGTCGCAAAAATGAAACCAATTTTTTTTAAAATCACAATCCTAATTACCCATGTCACCATTCCATAACCAAAATAATTATTTTCTCTTATAAATTCGTACGTTATAATACCACATTTTCGGCAATAATTATTTGGGAAACGTTTGAATGAAACAACTATGTTATTAAAATTAATTAGTTTTTTATTAAAATGTTTTTAACGAATGATTACAATTTGTCAAATTTTTTTTGTCGATTGTTCATATCAAATTAGAAGTTTATAGCTTATTATTGATTGTTACAAATATAAAAATACTATTATTTAACTTTTTTTGTGATTTATTAAAAGTACTTATTTATAATTTAAATTAGCTTAATATTAATTTATATGATATATATATGAATTAATATATATATATTAATTCATATATTATTAATTTATAATATTATGTATGTATATAAATTAATATAAATAAATATAGTTCATAAAAATTATAAATTACTATATATAACACTTTGACTCAAAACGTAATAAAAAAGAGAAAAAAACTACAAAACAAATGAGTGAAATACGTGAACGTAAGAATCTCAGAGGTTCGCGGCGAGAAAAGAAAGAGAGAAATATAGAACAACAGGCCGTTGATATGGGAACTATTCCTAGTATTCCTTCTTTATTTCCAAACGATAGGGAAACCCAGAATTTCGAGTCTCAGGTTGACATTTCGATGAACGCAATCGAAGAGATCATTCCATCTTTTTCGCAATCTTCTCAATCTTCTTGTTTGTCATTTTATGAAAAACTATAAACAATAGTAATAAAACCATTCAATTAACAACAAAGTGAGTACCGTAGTTGAGACTTTACGTCACGCCTTGAAGTATGACTTGACTTTGCGGGTAGGTGTAGATAAGCCTGACTTTTCAATTGACGTCAATGAAGCTGTTCTCAATGAATTAAAAAATCATGTTGTCAAACAAAACGAGATTTTGAAAAAACTCAATCTTTTTGCTGAGAGTATAGATCAACAGCGGTTGGGTCGTTTTAGTGTTTCTGTCTGTCAGCCAATTGATTTGTCTTGTTCAGACAACTCGGTCGACAACTCTGACATTAAAATCTCAGACATCGTCGAGTATACCACGCAGTATATGATCACATCCAATCGCCTCCAAGACCTTGTCGCTAACTTAAATACCAAACTTGAAAAAGCCGTCAATGTTCGTTCCGACACAACTGTTTATGAAGACCTTCTCAACGCAACAGAGGATTTAGTCGATTGATTTTACTGTATTATAATTATAATTTATATAATAATTACAATCAAATCAATAATCAATAGTATTGTATTATAATCTTTTTAATTTTTTCTATACTCATTACCGTTACATGTATTATAATACAATACTATTAATACTATTAATACTATCCTTATTGATTTACTATACTAAATAATAAAAATACTATAAAAAACACCTCACGAGTTAAAGTGGCTTAGCGACGACGAGTAAGTCGTAACACCCATCCTCACCCCATCTGTATTGTGCTGTAGATCCACTCTTCCATCTCACTTCCACCCAATTACCAGATGGAGACTCAGTAACGATCCCAACGGAACCATTTCCTCCATCTTGATCTTCCCACTTCCAGTCTCTTCCTCTTATCACACTCTTTCCGACTAACCATTGTGCTGGCTTTTTATATTGATCCTCTTGTGATGGGATGTTCTCTTCTTTCTCTTCCGCGACGACTTTGATATCATAACAGTTGTCGGAACCATACCGATACCGATTCTCATTGTTATTGATGTCCCAGCGCACTTTCACCCACCCACTCGCTTTCATCGACACTACTACACCGCGCCCACCTATACCACCATCTTGATTCTCCCATTTCCAATTCTCCCCTCGCTCAACACGCTTGCCAAGTACCTCCCCAATATTGATATATCGTTCAAAGGTGGTCTGCTTGCTCACTTCAGTCTTCTTCGGCTCAGACCTCTTCACCACTGCTTGCAGTTTCTCAGTGTCGGCTTTCACCGCTTCAACTTCGGTGTTCAATGCCTTCTCAGCTTCACTGAGTTCTTCGGAAGCAGTCTTAATGATCAGCGGTAAGACGTCGAGAAGGACATCCACTTTATTTTTGTTGATCTTTGCAGAATATGAGGCAACCGTTTCTTTAAAGAGAGTCACAAATAATGTTTTTTCTTCAACAGACAGTGACATGAATATTTCAGTTCTCACTCGTTTGAGGTTTGTTTCTTGTATCAAATTCCATTTCCAATTTTTCGTTCAACTCAAAAATTGGGGGCTGTGTTTTTTACTCAGAATATCTTCGACTTTGCGAACATTTCTCTTTTTTTGAATCAGCAAAAAAAAGTTGGAGCGAACTAGTTTTTATATGTTGGTTATTAATATTAATATTAGTAAACATTATACTAGATGATTATAATATTTTAATTATTAAATTTACTACCAAAAATAAAGTAATTTTGGTTACTAGTATTATTATAAATATTATTATAAATATTATTATAAATATACTATACTCAAATCAATTATTTTGGTTGATAAATCTCTGGAGTTTGATATTCTCGTCGTGAATTTCTTGAAGGAGTTGTATGAGTCCTGGGATGTCCTCGTTTTTCACGGCCTCTGCCGGTGTTGCAAGGAGTGCTTCAATCCGCATTGTCTTACTTGCTGTCCGGAAATTGAGCAGACTCAAAATTTGTGTATTAGAGAGTGGGGGTGATGACTGATCGACAGTAAAAGATTCTTCCTTTGCTTTGATGATGCCGGTGTCATAGACGCCTTCCTCAATCTTCAACGACTTCATACAGAGTTGTTCGCACAACTCGCACGCGTCTTGATACACCTTTAAGACCTCAATTTTATTCGTTGATGCGCCAGACACATTACCAAAAGTATTAATGAACTCTAGAGTACTCGCCATATATGGGGAATTGGCCTTGATGACAAGGTATTGAAGTACTTTGACGACATCTTTTTCCTTCAAAACTTTTTCCGTAATTAACTGAACAACTTGATACACATCATACAAATACTCCAACTTATCATTTGGATACCGCACGCTATCAACAAGACACAAGTACTTCACCAAATCCTTCTCAAAAGGAATGTCTTTATCCCTTGCTCTCAATGACATTCAAATAGTATAATTTATAATTAATTTCTAGTATAATATATCGTATATTATATATATATATAATAATATATAATATAATATATCGCCTTCAATTCGTATAAACCATATAATTATTATTAAATTACCATAAAACTGTAGTATTTTACATCGAATTAAATGTTATAGTTTTTATATTATAAAATATATTATATAATATATTATAATACAATATATTATAAAATACACATCAACAACAAACGGCAGTCCAAGATGCCGTGGCATCAAGAAATTGTGTAAATGCGCATTTCTCCATATAGCGTAGTCTCTGCTTGTTACGTCGCTTTTACTGTTTTCAAGGAGACATATTGAAGGTGTCCAAATATATGGGAACACTCTGTGAATGATGATACGAGTGAATACGGACACTAAGCGGGTCTCATCCATCAAACAATACGATTTACTCTTCCGAAGGTCATCGACGGTTGTTTTACAATAAGTTCGAACGACCTTTTCTCTCTCTTGTAACGACGTCTTCCGAACCATCAAAGGAAACTTGAGAACGAACGATTCGATTTGACTCAATATGATCTTGTCCAAAGTAATGATTTTGAATATGACGGTTTCTTCGTTCGCCAGATTGCGGAGCTTTTGGCGACTCTCCAGCGACAAAAAATGTGGTTCTCCTGTTTCGTTTATCTTCAAGAAATCGACGATGCCGACAAAAGTCAACGAAATGGTGTAGATAATGGTCTCAAAGAGGGTCTCTTCTTTCCACGCCCACGGCGCCGTTTGATAGAACAAAATGTTATCGATGTGTAAGAGTAGAAGTTGTTGGTCCATCCAATACAAATCGTTACTTCCCGAGACGGTTGTTGTATGAAAGGGGGAGTTATTGACTATTGACTCCTCTGCTCTTCTAAAGAGTGTATCGTATGAGTTAGTTTTCTCAATCGTTGGGTAAAGTCGAAGAGTAGAGTCTTGAAGAGTACCGGGTATATATGAGAATGTGACAAGTCTGTGGGTAGCATCTAATATTGCCAAGTGACTTGCAAGAAACATTGGAGTGATTTCAATGTCAGTCAACAATGAGTTTGGAGGCAGAAGTAAAACACACTTCGAGTCAAGCGCAAACGTTCTCAATCGTCTGAATGAAGAGTCCAGTGATGTGAAGGCCTTCACCATTTTATGTGTTTCGATTTTGACGGTGTTCGTTCGTTTTGACGGGTCAACAATGTTCCTCACTACCGTCTTTTTCATTGTTAATTGAGTTTCTATTTTTTAATTAGAAGTCGTATTGTGATTATTCATAGTTTCATTCTAGTTTCGCTTTAGTATTCCAAATGAAACAAATAAATAATAGTTATTTATTAATAAATAAATAAATATAATATAATTGATTAATTTTAATTTAATTTATGATTATAATAATTTACTAAATTAATAGTTTAAATTAACTTAACAAAAATAACATTTTCTATAACAAATTTGTTCTTTTGAATGAAATTGCATATACTACGTGTACACTCAATTAGTTGTTATATCAAGAAGTAACGCGATCGACTAAATTACATAAATATAAAGCCATACAATGAGTTGAGAGACTGCCTCCTCAATTCTTTGGAAGCACAATCTTCGACTGGAGTCTTTTCTTGGTAGTCATCTTGAACATAAAAAGTCATACGAAGGGGAGAGGGCTCACGAAGAGAAAGACGGGTCTTTTTCTTCTCGTGAACTTTAAACAAAATGAGGTCATGATTTGAGGCACTCTGCATTGGTTTTGTGTTCTCTGTCAGTTCGTATCGGCTTTTATTCGATGGCGAAAAATTTTATTTTATTTCTTGATAAAACACTATGCAAGTAAAAATACATCATCTAATACTTCCTAAATTTGAGGGGAATTACAACTAAATTAACTTAACAGTTTATGTGGAATTGGATATTCACGTGGTTTTTTTTAAGTTTTATTTATAATATTATAATACAAAATTATAGTTTATTTTGTTATTGTCGTTAAATTATTTTTAAAAACTTTTTTCTTTTGTTTTATTATAAAATATTACAAATATATTATATAATATACAATAGAATATTAAATTCTTTATTAATGTGCAATCCCGCAAAAATTGGGGTGAACATTATTTGTGCCATTTTTGGTTATTTACTTATTAAAATCAAACTATTTTCAAAAAAAGAGAAAAAATAACCCTTCTAGAAACACCCGCTTTTTGCTTGTAAAAACGACTTAAATATCATTCAAATACATGCCAAAAATACATGATAAATTCCCTTCAAAATTGTATATTTTTACAAAAGGGAGTAATATTTAATTGGCACTATTAAATAAATTATACCATATTGGTATGGAATTTTTACTATAAATTATGTTAGTTTCTTTATAAACACATGAAAAACAATACATAACTATTACGGCATAAAACGGGAAATAAATTATTTTGAATTTAATAATTTATAAATAAATTCTAATTACTGTTAATCTAATATTTTAAATATATTATTAGTTTTTAAAAACTATCTTATGTCATTTTAAAATTGGTTTGAATGACATAACCACAAACTTTTTGTTTATATTAGAGTTTGATTTCTTTTACAAGAAATAATTTAAGACTTATTACAAACCAAATGATGCTCTTATTAATGTTTTTGATCTTATTTAATTATATTTGTAGTAAATAATAATTATTAATTCATTAATAAATATACTATATTATTAATATAACTTTACATATACAGAAAAACAAACAAATAATTAATATTTATTATGAATTTTAATTATAACTGATATAAAATAATATATAATATATTATTAATAACATTTTAATAATAATTTATTATTAATAAATTAGATATTTTTAATTAGAAAAGAATTATTTTTCTTATTTGGACAATAATAATACAAATTATATAACAACTTTTTACAAAAAACCTAAAAAACAGTCTAATTAACAAATTTTGAGTCGATGAGTAATTTTACTTTCTTCAATAAGAAAAGAAAATTAAAAAGTAAAAGAACAAAGAGAAAAGAATTCGACTTATTTAGTCTCAAATTGGTGGATCACCTCTTTAATATCTTTCTGCATTTTATTGTCGCATTCGTTCCCGAATTTGAACAAATCGATTCCGGTCTTGACGTCGTAGAGTTCCTTGCTTTTTCTGTTGATCTTAAGGATGAGTGACCATTTAAAGAAGAAGCAGTCTTTCACAAGAGACTCCTCGCTCTTGATGTGCTTGACAATAATGTTGTCCTCATCGATTCTGATTTCTACAACCCACCCGTTAGTCACATCTCTATATGGAAATTTGATTCTGAGTGGTACATAGTATTGCACAGCACTAGCAAACATGCATTGAGTTATTGTCTTCAACACACACAAGACCAAGTCGCCCTCTTTGAAATTGTCCTCAAGATATGTCTTATTGAACATGGCTGCGTCGCACTTCTTCCCGTTCTTGATGTAAGGAAAGTGTGCGTCGAATGTCGAGAGAAGGTTTTCTGAGAGTTTGTTCTCACTGAGGGCATTGGACAACCCGACCAAGACTCCTTTGATTGCCTCTTCGCAACGGTAGTCGGGATGGTCTTCTGCTACTTTCGCTCCCGAGACGACCAATTGGCTCTTTGCAAAGATCAAGACCTTCGGAGCAAGTCTTGGGAGGTCGATGTATACGGAAGTGTTGGCCACTGGTTTGCGGTAGGACTCTTTAACGTCTTTGGTCATACCCTCAAGGGTGATGGTCTCTGGAATATACTCGAGCTTAGAAAGAGGAACAGTGGTGTTTGTGCGGACACGCGTCACAAACAGAACAACAGCTACTACGGCAATAACTGCAAAGACTGCAAAGGAGATGATGAACGCAGACATCGAGTATGGTTTCTGATTTTCAAGTTTAGTGAATGGAGTGGAAGCTTTTTCTTCTAGTTCTTTATAGTTTATATAATCATTCAAGTATATATTTTTGGGCGACAATATACTATTACTATATAATATTTCTATCATTATATATAGTTTAATTGAACACGAACGACTTGCATTGATTTTTCTTGTTGTTCACTTCTGTTTAACTATTTGGTACTTTTTGTGGATTGAGTCGGGACTTTTGGCTTTAAATTTTGATTTTAATGTTCTAAATAATGGAGTTACGCATATTAGAAATAAAAAAACCAATAGTTGTTCAACTAAATATGACGCATTAATTAAATGATTATAAGATATTATTCAAAATAATAAATTAATATAACAATATTCAGTAATAAAAAAAAATGTTACTCAATTATTTTTACAATATTAAAACTATATTTGAACTATATTTATTTTATGTTAATCCATAACAAAAAAAAATCATCATCAAATCTTTTTTAATGAACTTGTTATAGGCAAATATAGCAAATGGCTAAAGGGTCAATGAGTGTTTACCAATTTTTTATGTTAACCCAAAGTGTATTTGACATAAAGACAAATAGTTATATAAAACACATAAAACAAAAACAAGTAAAAAAAGGAAAAAAAACGCAATGAGAATTATTAAAAACTCAAACTATTAAACAACATATTTAAAGTTGTTTACTAATTAATTTAAGTTATTAACAATTCTTATTTTTATTTAGTTATTATAACAAATACTATAATATAGTTAATATAAATTATATATATATAGTATCGATGAAGAGTGGACAACCCAATGTTGAAGAAGTGAAGCGAGTTGTGTACATTCCAATTTTGCTTCTTGGTTGTCTGTGGTAACAAAAAATAACATGAATAACATCATAGACAGCATCGACGTCTTGTGAGTAAATCCATTCAACAACGGGAATGAGAAATTGTTGTGCGGTTGTGACGATGTTGATTGATGAATTTGATAAGAATGTCATTGATGTTGCAAGACGGAGTGCGCGAAGTGTGAAATAAAGAATCGACACAAAGTTACTGATATGTGACGATGCCCACCGTGATGTGGCGCGGTTGACAAATTCAGTGTAACATGTGGTAATGTTGTCACATATGAAATAGAGTGTGTCTTGAAGAAGACTTGTGATTGCATTAATTGCACTTGGCGCACCAGAACTGACTGCTTTCACTATAACATTGTCACAAACACGCACTATCGCGGTCGAATACTCCATCATGTTGATGCGATTCTCAAAAATCGTTCCATATAACACCCATGCATTGACAACCGCGGCGTACACACTGCACTCAACAGGTGTTGTTGCTTCCTCAAGTTTTGTGATTGCAGCCAAAAGGTATGCATGCAATGAAGATGTTCATGAAAGAAAGACACGCAATATTAACAAGTGAAGTAACAAACAGAAAACGCATCAAATCCTCGAATGCACATAATGTCTTGAGCACAACCATGTATAACAATAGAAACTATTATATTTACAAGAATCTTTCTTATGTTATTTCTGAGTATAAATTTATCACTTCATTTCTTGTTTGTCTTTTTATCACAACTTTTCTGTAAATTGATAGACTTGTTATGTGAAAATTTTTAAAAATTTTTTAAATACTTAAATGCCACTCTACAAATTTTGACCACAACTTTTGAACCAAAAGTATTAAAAAACAAAAAGTTAAATTATGAATCGTGGACATCACCCGTAGCCGTCACCACCATGTCTGTGTAATTCTTTGCTGCGTAGTTTGGATTGTAATACGGGTTTTCGATGAAGACACTGAGGTGTGAGAACATGTTAAGTCTCGCGATCGCGAATTTGTCTTGGTCCTCCTTCGATCGAGTCAACGAAGTGACTGATCCGAAGTCGAGGGGGTATTTAAACTTCTTTCCGACTACAACAGAAAGAATAGCTTGAAGTGTTGATCGATGTGATATAATAGCTACACGATGATATTTCTTCATGATGGCATTCAAACAATTTTTCACTCTGAGTTCCATTGTTTCCCAAGTCTCTAAATCTAATTTACCGCCAAGTGGCACAAAGTTCTTGTCGAGCTTCTCGTCTTGCATTGGAGTCGGGTCCAACACGGGAAGTGCCTTTCTATTATTGACCGACAAGAACTCTCCAAACGCTGGTTCAACGACATAGTGAATTCCCAACTCCTCAGCAATGCATTTTGCAGTCTGCGTTGCTCTATAAAACGGCGATGAGACAATCAAATCGATCTTTTCGTATTTCAGTCTCTTTGCAAGGTCTTTTCCTTGTTGTAAACCTTCTGGTGACAAAGGTGGGTCATGAGGGAATTTAGCTTTCGGGACCCAAGTGAGGTCATTGTAATCAATTCTGAAGCCATGTCTGCACAAGAAGACGGTGTCTTGGGAAGTGAATGAGTCGTGGATTTCCTGTAACATTTTAATGAGTGAAGTAATCCCGAAACAGAAGAAGTGGTCGATGTCGAAGTTCTCATTAAATACACAATTTTCAGTGTTAGAGAGTCTAATAGTTGGTTTCTGTGGAGCGTTGTCGACACCATCGAAGACAAGTCTGAGTGTCGAGTTCTTTATTTCAACGTTTTTCATTGTCTTCGCTGTTGAGAGGAGTTCATTAAGTCTCTTAATGAATCCAGGAATCACTTCATATCTGTAGAAGTCATCCAATTCGTCTTTGATCATCGACTTAATAGATTCAACCATTTCTTTCCAAGTATAAGTAATACCCTTACACGTCTCAACTGTGAAGCCATAAGGTACTACACTGTTCTCATTAGTTGATTGCCCGACGTGTATAGAAATCACCTTTGGATTTGAGTATACAGTGGCAGAAGAGTCTTCGGTGTCTAATAAGAAGCAAGAAAGTCCAGTCTTCCCAAGGAAAGCAAGTGCCTTGTCAGACTCTATACCCTTCGTCTTCCCTTTCTCAGTCGCTAATTTCTTTGTCTTGTCCTCACTCTTTGAGGCAGACTTGACCCGGTCCTCTTCAAAACTCTCTGAGCTGTTCAGAAGCTTGACTGGTACTGTGCTCACGTCTGCCATGAGAAGTCGATATTCACAGTTCGCTTTATAAGCTCCTGTTGTCCACTGTTAAAGGTGGTTTCTGTGAGTGTCTCTTTTTTCCACTCGATTTTCCATAAAAAATCTTTGGTTGTGTGGGAAAATGCATTCATCCAAGTATAACATATTCCATTGCCTTCTTTGTAGAAAACTTTTTGTTTTAAATCAAAATTTAAGGATATTTTGTGGCACTAAGGGACAAATTCTCTAAAATATCAATCTGAGCTTTTTAATATTCTTTCTTCGTTTTACGGGCCGTCTTGTTTAATTCTATTATTACTCTTATGGAGTTCGATTTGGTATGAACTTGAAAAGAGGGTGTGACTTCGGCATTCTTCAACACTTTTATCATTTTCCGAATTATTTAAATCGAAACTTTTGAATTGATGTGGAATAAAAAAATTTTGAATACCATTATCTGTGTTTGCCATTTTTTTACAAAGGTAATTATACCAACCAATAACGATATGGATTTAAATTTAGAATAATCGACAGGTTGCATCGAGCAAGCAATGCCGAAATCACAATATCAACAGAACCAAAAATGTTTAACGAAAGACTACGTTTTAGGGGTAGATAGAATTGTTTGGATCAAAAAAGAAACACACATAATGTTCTTATTGGTCAATTTTGTCCAAAAAGGTGTGCAAATTTCGGCAAATACAACACGGTTGAGAAACTTTAAAAAGTTGTTTTATAATGAAAATCATTCAAAGCACTATCGACTGTGTTTTACCACTTGTTGTTTTCAAATTTATATTATTTAATATCTAGTTTTTATACTATATTTGGTAATAATTTAAGTTTTTTTTTGTTTTAAAAAATCACTTTAAACATATTTAAAAAAATGCCATTGATTGAACTAGTTTTGTCTGAAAAAAACGAATTAGTATTAAAATTTTTTTCTCTCAAATAACAATTTTTTAAATTTTTAAAAAATGTATTTTAAATATTAATATTAACTATAAAATTATTTTAAAAAATGTTTTTTTAACCTTCAAAAACATTTGTTATTAAAAGTATAATTATTTAATTATTAATTTATTTGCTATTGATATTATGTATTATAATTAATAGTTAAAATATAATAAATAAAAATTTATCTTACTTGTATTTAAAATATTAAATAAAAATACTATTATAATTAAAAAATATTAAGATAATTATATTTAAATAATTAGAAATAATATTACTCTTATAATTAATGTGCAGAGATCAAACTTGTCAATTCTATCTACTATAGTTGAAGATTACAATGTTTTTACTTGTCATGTAAGTTTCAAACCACTTGATTATTGTTTGAAATGTTATTTTGTTCTATATCTTGATTTTTTCGATTGAATCATTGACTACTTTGTATTCACTGTTTTCAACGCGAATGTGTATTACCAATTGTTCCCTTATTTTTAAGGTTATTATCATTCACAAAAACATTAAATAATCTTTTATGAATAATAAAAAAATTGACATTATTTAAAAGTTTATGAGTAATTGTTGTTTTTGGGTTTGCTCTCTGAAATTTTTAAACATATTAATGCCCTTGTTTTTGTTTTTTGTAGTGGAGACTCATTTAATAAATTAATAACAAATGATAGAGTAAAATATATTACCACAAACAAGAACCTCAACTCTAATTGTTGCAATATTCAAGTTTAACAACAAAGACGTCAATCTTTTGTTTTGATTATATAAAAAAATATTAGTTTTTTTATTAAAAAATCAATTGAAGTATAGTTAATAACAAATTCTTATTTTTCATATAAATTTTACTAAATAAACAATATGAAAAAGAGACTGAAAAAGAGAAAAATTGATGAACGACAAGACGCTGATCAACGAGATCATAGCGGAGGTGATGGAGGATCCAAACGTATATGAAAAAGATCCTCTAGCAACCAAAGACAAAAGTTTCATCTGTTCTGCTCAAGACTCTGTTGGACTCTATTTTGTGAGTAATCGAGCTGAAGCCGAGTCTGCAGTTCAAGACCGATTTTTAGAGAACGCTGTTGATTACCCGGACTATGTCCATCAACTCTTTATGGGTGACAGTGATATTTATGGGTACAAAGATTTGAAAGTGCACGTCTTGTTCTCTGTGTATTCCCATCAGATGTACATTGACTTTTCATTCTCACAGAAAATTGGAGACGCCGAAGACTTAGTTAAGTGCCTTACACATTTCATGCCACCACATCAACGCGTCTTGACATTTGAGGAGTTTTGTATGCAATTAGAAGATGAGAGGTATACGAGTAAGCCAAAGGGAGAGATGATACATCACTTTGAGTTAGGGGATGAGGTCTATGAGATCTATTACGGTACTATCGAACAAATGTATACATTCTACACGCAACTATTTCCATGTATCACAATGTTTATTGAACGAGCGAGTTGTGTGAATAAAGAGGGTAAGTGGGAGTTCTTCTTTTTGTTCCAAGTGATCGAGTCGAAAAGTGACATCACAAAAGTCGAGTACAGAATCGCTGCGCAGACAAACACATACAGATTTTACCACTACCCAGACACGTGGAGACTCAGAATAGGACAGTTCATCACATTCCCAAATTACCAACGGAAGAAGCTTGGGCGGTATCTACTGACACAAGTCTATCTCTTCATTTTGAAGTCAAAGTGCTACGACTTGACTGTAGAGGACGCTTGTTTAGAGTTCCAGCGCTTGAGGACCTTTGTTGAGATTAAGATGCTCGAAGAGAAAAAGTTGAGTCCGCCAGTCGATGTGAACGCAGACGTCCTCTCCTTGTGTCCAGAAGACTTCTGTGAACTTGCAAGAGCCAATTGTGGAATCACCAAAGTCGAGATGGAAGAGATGTATGAGATGCTTGTATGGGCGCAGGTCAGAGACAAACCGGAAGTCATGAAAAAGTTGGCACTTGAACTGAAGAGGAAGGTCTATTCCGAGACGGTGAATGAGTTGGACCTTCTCGATTCGGACGAGAAAAGAATAGAAATGATTGACAGAGCGTATGCGGCAAAAGTGGCGCATTTCAAACAAATATACAGTGCTCTCGAGTGAGATTATATTGATTCTTCTTATGAGTTTCATCATGACATAATCTATTTATAGAACTATAAGATAATAGTATATTAATTATAAATTATAGAAAATGTCAAGGAGCATCTAGTTGATAGAAAATGTATTCTTGAAGAGCAACAATACTAATGAACATATTATTTTGCGTTGACGTTGAACGCAGAGTAACATTTAGAGCTAGTTGTGTCTGAGGGCGGAGACATGCTTTGTGTGAAAGTAGCGACATTTTCAAAGTTGTTAAAGCCTTGGTCATTGTCTACGTTCTGGTCAATTGTGGGATTGAGGGTAAAGACATTGGATGTCTGATTGAAAGTATTTGAGAGCTTGTCGAGTGTGTTTTTCATCTTCCTGATATTGTTTTGAAAGTTGGTGTCAGGCTTGATCCCTAAATTGACATCGATGAGTCTTGGCATCGTTCTGAACTTTGGTTCTCCATTGTTGACCATTAGACATCCCATTTTCTTCTCTTCTGTGTTTTTTCTTGGTTTGGTTTCCAGTAGTATTTTGGATGAATTGAACTTTGGGAGTACTCTTTTGACGCTCGACAAGTGTTGTTCTTCTTTTTTACACTCGATGTGTTCCTCATAAAGTATCTCTTTAGGCGAAAGGGAGACTTCAGTCTTATAATCGTCCTTGATATGGGTATCCTCAAATTTGTTTCTTTGTAACAATTCGTCTTCAAATACTTCCATAGTGTTTATCTCAGCTTCTGTGTGATGAGACCTTCCATCTATGACACTGTTGTTAGAGTGTTGGCTTTCGGCAGACATCAATACTATAATTATAGTATTAAGTTTTCTCTTTCTCATTTTTTTTAGTTTGGTTTTCTTTATCGAATTATCATAACTCAATCGAATGGTTTTTCCAAATAAAAAATCTTACTTGTGTTACCTTAGAAATGACAATAGTAATGCCTAAGATATTCGCCAATTTTTATTTTGTCAACAAAATACCAAAATCATAAGAAACGTGATTTATTCGAAAGTAGAGTATCCAGCTTTCTTTGTCTTTAAAAAGATAACAACCAAGATACCCGCGATAACCACAACAAAGACCACAAATACTATGACACCAAAAACAATCCACCCAACAGGAGGCTTCTTGTTATCGTCATCATTATGATGACTTGAGCTTTGATCTGGCACTGGTGCTTCGATTGGGTCCATATAGAATTCGACATCAATGAATCCAGTCTCGTCGTTGTTCTGTGGAGCGACGAAGATATAGTGTTCCTTTCCATCAGTCGTTGTGTTGAATGTCAGATAAGTACCGTGGATATCACAGTTCTTAATAGAGCTCATAGAGACTGCTACCAAGTCGTCTGGGTATGATACAGTGACACCGTCTTTGACTTGTGTTGTGCATCTGTCGTGCAACAAGATAATTGAGTTCATCGTAGTGCTCATCGAGCAAGTTTTGACTTGGATAGTCCACTCCTCATTAGTTTGGATTCTGAAATAGATACCACGAGTGATTCCACCTGTTCCAAGATCAGTCGTTTGAGACTGTCTGTTCAAGAGCAAGTAATGGTTGTAATAATTTTTCACGTTAATTTCAGTTGGTTTGTCGCACATTGAGTTCTGTGGTACTTCAGCAACAAAGATGACGAGTCTGTATTGCTTAGTGTTAATAATAGCAGTCGACTCGGAGAAGACTGAAAGAATATAAGTGCCCTTTTTACCATCAATAGAAATGGAAGCAGAGTCGACTGGGCAACCCTTTGAGTCATTAATTATACCTACACACTCATTACCGACGTCTCCATGGCACTTCGTTGAAATTTCAATAGCCGTGTTGACCAATGTTTTTGGGAAGCATGTTGAAGCGTCCAAGACACAGTCTTTGTCCAATGTAAATTTGTAATAGTTAGCTGGTGAAAGAGTCGATTGCCCATTAGACAAACACGTTTGGTAGGATTTGGTATTTGCAAAGGAGTGAAGAGCGGTGAATGGTAATGTGACTTCAAGAGCTTCACTACACTTGGCGTACGTCTTGACCATATTTGTGATGAATTTGACTGCAATCATTTCATATTGGAAGGACGAATAAGCGTAAGCGAAGACATATTGATAAGTAGACTCCGATGAGAAACTTAAAGTGGCTTGTCCCTGTGATTTCCCAGAGCATCTGACGACGTTACATTCATCAGAAAATTCTATCATCCCAATTTTAGAGCCAACCCCGTTCATTGCCAAAATAGTGTATTCTTCATCGACCTTCGACTGATCGTGAATGACTTTATACCACAACCCTTTGCTTTGTTCAGCTATAGAGTCACACCCATGGATGGACTTCTCGATATTTGCAAGGACTCCGACATCGTCATAAGAAGTGATTCCCTGCAAGACAAGAGCGTCCTCGCATTTGAAGTGGTCTTGAGTCTTTTCATAGATGTTCAGAGTCATGTCGCACGCCTTTTCTCTGCAGAACACTTTAATGAAGTACGTGGTCCCAATTTCAGTTTTCTTGATAATGTAATTGTTCTCATAGCATTCGCCATTCTCGCCATCAGCAACAGCGCATTTCTCATCAGCACAATTGTTGACCAACTCAACTCCGACACCAATCGCCTGCAACTCTGGAGTTAATGACTTGCATGTCGAGAAGACCATAGTCTTGTTGTTACCAGCAAATGACAAATAAATTGATCGATATTCCTGTGTGAACTTTCCACAGGCAGCTTTAGTGAGTGGCCAAGCGTCTGGAATAGACACTTTATGTGAGAATGGGAGTTTAGACACTGGGAGAGCATGTAGACATGTCGCAGGGACGGAGTCCATAAATTTATTCACATTAATTAAGTACTGTCCATTTCCTCCAGCTGAGTAGATACCAATGAAGTAGTCTGTTCCGGCTTCTGTTTGGAAGGCAATGACTGAAGACGTCATTAAGTTACCACATCCGATCTTTCCTTCTTTAAAACAGACGGCTTTGTTACACTTTCCATTGACTAAAGAACTTCCTTTGACCACGACAATTCGTGAATCAAAGTTGGTGTAATAATTGCAAGTGTTTGCAACATACATATAGCCGTCGCCTTTCAATTTGTACCATAAAGATGTCTTACTCGAGTCAAGGCAACCCGGTTGAATGGCGTTAGTAGATGTTTGAGTTAAATATCCAGTTTCGACGAATGGGAGGTTAGTAGTGTCGACATTGATAGCTGTATCACACTCTATATTTTTGTGTTCCTTGTAATTCTGCATCACATTAAGTTCTACATTACCACTCTGTGTAATATTTCTCAATTTGAAAGCGGCTATGTACTCTACACCGTTATTCACATTGATATTTAACACAGCAAGACTTAATTTCTTAGCTTCACAGTCACCGTCGACTCCTGAATAAGCCAATCGCATCGTAGCAACGCCATTAGTGCAAGTGCTGTAGATATCAATGTCAACTTCTACGGTCGTGTGTAATGAACAAGTTGATAGTAACACATTATAAGCAGTTGCAACTTCACTTGGGTCTTTAAATCTAAAGTAAATTGCATGGACATCTATTGGGACGGAGTTAACTGCATATTGCACTTGTGACACAGGAATGCTGGTGCCAAAAGTTACATTGGTGGTGAACCGTGGAAGGTTTTTCAGTGGCGCGTCAGTGCATGTGTACGACTGGCCATGAGCTATGACCAAAAGGGCAAGAAATGCAAACATGATCTAATATATCAGACATTCGAGTTTTAATATCTCTGATCTAGAAATTTTTCGTTAGAAACTGAAAAGTCGAACAATTTTGTGAATAGAGAAGGGAACATAGTATCGCTAGAAATTGGGTTTTGAATTGAAGAAAAAAAACAAAAAATGAATTTTTTTGTTTCAAATTTGATTTCGAAAGACAAATTCTGAGGTTCCAATTTTTTTTAATTTAATTGTGTGATAATTTATACACAAAAAAACGGGATTTTTTAGGTGCATTTTTTGAACATTTAAAATGTTTTTTTCTGAGAAGATTAAATTAGAATAATTATAAAATATACTAAAATAATAGTATTGAAATATGGAAATATTATTTGTTTTAAATTTGTGTTGGAATAGCTTTGAAAAGGAAATTAAGGATTTATCCCGTTATTTTGGTTTTTGTTCATTTCAATAAAACAATAAAACACTTAAAAAACAAACAAATCGACAAATGTGGTAGAATTGGTTTTGTTTTCTATAAGTTTCCAACAGTTTTAGATGTATTTCCTCGAAAAAAACGAAAAGAAAAAGCCAACGAATTTGAAAAAAAAATTATATTGTATTATTAAATTATTAGTAAATATTTAGTATATCGTCTTAATAAAAATATAATTCATTTGTTATATATATAGTAAAATAAAATAAAATAATATTATTAGTTCTGTTATTAATAAAATAATAAAAATAAAAATCTAATTAAAATACTATAATAACTAAGTTTTAATAATACTTACAACCAAATAATAAAATTTTATTAAAAATATAGTAATTAAAATTATAATTGAAATTAGTATAAATAATTTAATTTAACTATTTTAAAACCAGTTAATTAAAAATTAATTAATTGTATGAATTTATAATATGAACAATTATATGAATAGAATTTGTCTATAAGGTACAAGTCCTATCTAATAAACATACAAAATTTGTATCGAAAGCCTTAATCATTACGCCTTCTTTAGTTGAAGTTCTTTCTCTTATTTTTTGGTTCAAAAAAGCGCCCAATTTGATAATTTGTTTTTGGTCAAAAGTCTCATCTCTGTATTTTATAGAGTTAACTCGCTTCATCAAAATGCTATTGTTTTTACAGACTTTCCGTGTCTTTCTTTCTTCGATTACACACCCGTTTTGTGTGAGTAAATTGAGTATTGTGTTGTTTGTTAAAGCATCCAAATATTGACGTTTTTGTTTCAAAGAGTCGTATTGAAAAATCAGAGAATTAGCATTAAATACTGTTGTTTCATTTTTCTGTACTATGTTGACAGTAAACATTTGATGTGTGATACTTCCTTTTTTATACAGTTTATTAACATATACGTTATATCCACATTTAACAAGCATCCCCAATAAAAATGACTGTTGAAACGCGTCTCTGTTTTTCGAATTTCTTTTAGCTTGGTCAATATGTTTGTGTGAATAAGTCTTAGTTGGTGTCTGTGGTATTGTTGGAGTATCTTTGTATAGAAAAACATTGGGGGAGATCGTTAACAATATCACACGATGGTCAAAAGCACTCATTGGCATTAAATTTCGTTTGTGTGTTAAGTTCAGTGTTTATATATTTCTATATATCTATCCCATATCCTATTTTGAATTAATTATTACAACACCTAAACTCACTTCAATGCCGCCGTTCTATTTTTGATTTTTCTTTCTAAAAACATGAACTGTTATTTATAATATTTTAATACTAATATATAGAATTTGTTATCTATCTGTCTTCTGTTTTTTATGTACCATTCAATATAACAAATTTTTTATCTATTTTAAACACAAGTTAATTATTTTTTCGAATAACACCAATCAATCTAAATTCTTAATTGAGAATTACCACAAAGAGTATTCGTTAACCATTGATTTTTTTTATTATAAAATTTGGTTTAATTTATTAAAAAAGGATATTAATAAATTATAATTATTATTTATTACTAATTGTTTTTTTTTACAAAATATTAGCTAATTTAATACATTTTTCATTTCTTTTTTTTTCCGTGGATTATTTTTTAATGATTTCACAAAAATTGTACTATTAAAATTCCATAATAAACTATAATTATATAATACGAATAATTACAATCGCATTCATTTATTGAGCTTTTATATAACTAATCGGGGACTTTTTTATTGATAATGTCATATAAAACATATTAAAAAATGACAATTATTATATTAGTGTTACCGCGTACTGTGTTTTTTTGTTAAAATAAATTTTATTGTTGACCAATTGAAAATAGCTAAGAATAAATCACAAATATAGTAAAAAAAATTATAAATATAGTACATTCCGACTTTAAGCCACCATATGGCTAACCGCAATTCACGTTGATCCGACACAAAAACGTCTTTCAAAGAACTCCAAAAGAAAACTGATGGACAAGAAATGGGACCACGAGATATATGAAGGTGCTGTTGTCATCCCCACACCAACAGAGTTGAAAAAAGATTTTACCCCCGAGTTTAAACATAAATTTCCGGCGTCATACGCCCCACCACAAAACATTCATTTGTTTTTATACCCGGAGTTACCAGACACCAATTTTCTTCCATCCTATTTTATAGTCACTTTTACGACACCACAAGGAACACTTTTTGGGCACACTCTTCGCACTGAAAAGTACTCGATTTGTCTTATTAGTTTTTATTGTTGGGAGGTCTTCTTTAGAAAATTGGTGATGCGAGCGGACACATGTCTTCAACAGGGCGACGACCAATTTTTACAATTTCTCCAGGAGATCAAAAACGCGCAATTTCCTTTCCTTCAACCAAATACAATTTTTAATTTGCAAGTCTCTGTTATTATCGAAAAGTTACTCTCCTCGCAAATTTTGTTGTTATTTAACTCACTAATTTGTGAGAGAAGAATCATCGTGGTGGGATCGAACTACGAAACAGTCACGACCTTTGTACTTTCTATCATGCAATTACTCGAACCACTCACATGGCCACACCCCATTGTCACACTCCTTCCAAAGTGCTTTTCAGAACTCGTAGACTTACCCACACCATACATTTGCGGAATGTCAAATGCACAATTCACCGCGTTACAACCGTTTTCTAACAAAGTTGTAGTTGTCGACGTGGACCAAGGCACCACGCGGTCAAACCACCCCGACATGATTAAGATGGACTCTGAACTCCTGCCAGTGTTTGCTACAAATTTTCTTAAAGAAAGTTTGAAGGCTATACAACGAGAAAATCCATCACAAATACCAGTGTTGGTCCAACAAACTTTTTTACAGTTTGTTTTAAAGCTTTTGCAGGCACCAGAGACATTTATCACTATTCGGAAGAAGAGAAATATGCTCATCGCCGAGATGGATATGGAGAAGTATAAGAAGACGTATGTGTACAAAAGTGGTTCAAGGAAATTCATCGACTTTTTTGTTAAGACTGGAGCTTTCGACCAGTATCTCCTGCGCCTCCAGACAGATTTACTAAAGAAAAGTGGGAAGGTCATCGAGAAGCCCGAACCAAACTTTTGGGACGCACTTTTCCAATTCAATTTTCCAACAGAAGATCTCACCAAAAAGCGGGGTGAGCAGTATAAAATGCAGTAATTCGATTGTTTCTATTTGTTTGAGTCTGTTATTAATGTAAGTAATGGAGGTTTTTTACTTTGTGACAATTCACATTTAAAATAATACCACACCACAGTATTTAAGTTAATATAATAAGTAATTTTCAAGAAGCATTTGTGGTCTAAGGGCAGAATTCCACCCTTTTAAGGTGGAGATCCGGGTTCGAGTCCCGGCAAATGCATTTTTGAAATTACAAAAAATTTAAAAGTTTTGTAATAACAAAGAAAAACGAACTCACATTTGATTTGTAACCTAAACACATAAAAATAAATTTATTTTTATTTATTTCGAATTATATTTAAATTAAAATTATAGTAAATGGTAAAATGGAAAATATTTGGAATAGTTCCCGAATTAAAAAAATGTAGTGGAAATTGAGAGATGTAGAATAAGGAAAAAAAGGTGACAAGAAATAATGTTTTATAATAATAATAATGTTCACTCTTCAAATTTCGATTATGTGGTTTAAATAATTAATTGCCACATTAGTGATGCTAAAAACTTGTTTTTCGATGATTCCCTGTTGTTCATTTGCGATATAAACGTTGAGTTGAGTAGATATGGTGGTATCGATGGTGTTCTATTTTTATAAATTTGTTAAAAAACACATTTCGAAAAAAATTAGACATTGTTATAAACTATTCAAACTATACAGAACTATACTTGCCAATAAAAATAATTACAGAATATAGTCGGGTGATAAAGGGTGTTAATTTGGGACAGAAGTAGTTAATTTGAGTAAAAAACTATAAAATATAATTTATTTAACCATAAAAGTATTAGAAGGGTTTTTTCAATTAACTACTTTGAAAATAATAAAAGAAAACCATAACTTTCTATTTTTGATATTATTCAATCTTTGAAAACAATGGAAGAAGAAGAGAAAGGAACCCTTGATGAAACAACCACAGGCAATCAACATAAAAAAGCAATTTAAATACAAGAAACCAGTTTAAAAACTGTATTTCAATATATATTCACGATGTATATGGTTAAAATGCCAGAGTTTAATGAATTAACAACAGTGTCAATTTTTGAAAGTGTCAGGGAATCACTGAAAAATCATCATTTGTTATTTCAATCTTTCAATCTTTCGTTGTTGAACCATTCCAATTGAAAAAGGAAAAGAGAAAGACCATTTTAACATTAAAAAAATTGGAGTTGAAGAAGAGCAGAAAAGAAATGAAACAAAGGAAAAAACAAAGGAAAAATTCTTTAACAAAACAAGTTTCAGACAAACCATAAAAGTGCTGCGTTTTAGAATTCCACATTTCTTCAAGTGAACAAATTGAGGTGTTTTTGTTTATTTTTGAAATAGAAATTTATAATTATTCAATCTATAATCATTTAAAATAAAAAACGATAATTTATATTATTATTTTAATTTTACAGTAGGGGGAGTGAGGGGCTTGACGATACTGAGGGGCTTGACCTATACTTTTAATGGTTTATTTACTATATTTAAATAAAAACTATTTTTAATGTTCTATTTAAAAACACAACCTTGACTTATAAGTTATAGTTTATAAACCATAAAAGTATTGGTTCATCCTTAGCATAAAGTCAGAACTTGAAATTGTATTAAAAACGACTTGGGTGTTTGTTAGTTGTTTCTCAATAGAGTCATCAGTAGGCGTTAGTCTTCATGTTTGATATGGCTCTCGTTGTTGGTTCAGCTCTTGGATATACCAAGGCAAACTTTCCTCTTCGGATTTGACCAAATATGCTGGTCTGTGCGGAAGAACAGAACAATGCCAAGTGTTTTTTGGTATAAACACTGTTGTCTTCATGGAACAACATGGAAGCCTCTTCGATAAAATGAACATTCTTTTGATCTTGCCAATATTGACTACAACAACACCAGAACGCTTATATGATGCAGCAATGATTTTTTGCTTTGCTCTATAATGCTCCCAACACTAATTTAGTATGACGATCTATGGAAACATAAATATGCTCTCTCGGCTCTTCTTGTTCTCTTAGAACTTGTCGTGATCTGCCATCACTATCACTATGTTATCTCATTTAAAAATCAATTCAATTTGAACTTCGCTGTCTTCAGTTACTGTAAAATTGGCTTCAATTGATCTTTAATTGTCAGAGTATTCAGTAAGTTATTGTTTTAACCACTCAAAATACACAAGCCAAATCGTGAAACGAATTGGCTTGTGTGAAAAACAACTTGTCTATTATTGCTAAAGGAAATACTTTGTAGAAAGAAGTTGTATTTGTGCTGTCGTAGAAACATAAATAATTGAAGCTTTGTGAATTAATTCTTGGTTATTTCAAACAATGAAAATAAGCTGTTCAATTTTCTTCATAACATTGAAGGGTGTTAATCTTTCCTTTTCAAAAAACGTTTAATTTCATTTTTATAAGCTAAGAATATTTTTCTTTGACATTTTTTATAAATTATTTATAGTTTTTGTTATTTTTTAAATAGAACCGGGAAAACTCTGTATAGTAAAAAAGATAATAAAACAATAGGTCAAGCCCCTCACTCCCCCTACTGTATGTTTATTTTGACCTTTAAATAGATTTTTTTAAAAATTATAGTTTCAAAATTATATTTATCAAAATTAACTATTTTGTTATTTTTTAATGCTATTTATCCCCCGACTATAACAAAAAAAACAATTTATAAAAATGATAATCTTAACAACATATAAAATTTCAATGAATTTTATTTTGTGAAAAAGAACAAAAAATACATCAAGAACGGTTTAAGGCATCATTTGGAATAAAAAAGATCAAAAAATCAGTTTATAAAATCAAAGTGAAAAATGAAATGATTTCAAGTATAGGGGTGTGATAAACTGGTTGTAAATGATCAATCCCTTGTCGATTTTGGTAGAACTTCCATTCGAACCAAATGTAAAACACAATTCAATTATTTTTTGTTATTTTGTTTGTTTTAAAAACCCTGGTTCACTTTCTTTTTTGCACACTTTTTGGAACAGCTATAAGAATTTAACACTTAAAATAACGCCCTTATTTTTGTTTTGGCCTGTTTTTACAGGGATATTAATCCAATTTTTGATGATTTTCCTTTTTTGGCTTGTGTATTGTTTATGCACATAAAATAAACTCTATAAAAACGGAAATTTATTTAATAAACTCAATATTTCCCCGATTTTTAGACCACTTGAATTTTGTTCAATGTTATTTAAAGTGTTAAGACTCGAGTTATTTTAATTTCCATTTTTTACCCAATCAGACTAAAGACATTTTGGAATGGATTTTCGTTGTTTTTCGTTTTACAAAAATACAAAATGCGAAATTTTTTCTTTTTTCTTGTCTCGGAGAGGCGTGACGGGTAAAAAATATATATTTTTAATAAAAAAAATAATTTGGAGAGGAGAAAAACGACTCGAGTTTTATAGTAAAATAAAAATAGTAACCGTTTCTTCGATATTCAAACGTGTTTTATAAAATCATATTGATGACTTGATACACACTTCACGTGGTGTATATTTTTGTAATATAATTTTGTAAAATCAACGTTATAAAAACAAAATGATTATAGTAGAGAGGAGAAATTCGACTCGGTGTTAAAATAACTTTTGTTCATTTAAAGTAAATTGTGTAATATAGAGATAAATATTTTACCATGCCTGTCATGTTCCTATTATTAAAATTAATTTTAAACATCGTGTTATGTTGATAGACTATGTTTGAAAAAGCCAATTAAAATTATTACAAAAAGTTGAATCTATATGTTAAAAATAAATTAATAACAATACTTAAATTATAATATAAACATTGTTTAATAATTATTATCAAAAATTCGACATTTGAAGCACAAAAAGATGCCAAAACACTTTTATCATGAATCGAGCTCTTGTATTCTTGATTGTTTCGATTACGAGTATATTCAATGTTACGTTCTAAAGCGTTATTTAACACAGCAAGTATTCAAAAACGTTTTTTACAATAATCAAACAAAAAATACAATAAATAAAAAATTTACTATTTATTTAAAATTTGGTTTAGTTTTAAATTAAAATAATTATTTAATAAAAAAATTTATAAAATCAGACAATATAATAAAGGAATTAATTTTTGAAAAAATATTTGTGCCATAAACAGTGTTGATATCAACAGAATAAATATCTATAAAATAAACAACGATTCAAATGAGTAAAAAGCCCAATTGTCAACAATATGTAACAAAGAAAAAGACAAGTGATAACATTCCTTCTATTCCCTGCAACCACTCTTTTTCGTGTGAAAGATTGAAACTATTTCCTGAGTATCTAGAACACTTTAAACGTTGTGAAAAAGAAGTTAATGAGTGTAAAACACACTTTGAGCAAATAAAGCTCGTTATGAAACAAATAAAAGATGTTAGGTGGCATCGTGGATGGAAAACGGATATTAAAGTGTTCTTTGGAGGAGCCAGAAGTGTAGAAGAACGAATAAGAAAGGTTGAAAAAACAAAGGAGGAGGGGAAGTTGGTCGACCGCGAGTTTTGAATAATGAAAAAAAAAATGATGAAATTAAAAAATTCGTTGAAACTTTTCAAATTGCAAAAAAGCCAGTGGAACCTCGTGAAGTGAAAGATTTTGTTAATTTGACGCTTTTGAAAGAGGGAGAAAAGGTGGTGACAACGAAGCAAATTTACGATTCAATAAGAAAAATAGACAAACTAAGTGTCAAGAAAGGCGAATTAATGGAGGAGTCCAGAGCTGTTGTTACCAAAGAAATAATTATGGAGTACTTGGTTGAATTGAAAAGGACCGTTGAAGACAAACCAGCTGCGCTAGTCTATAACTTGGATGAAGTTGGTTTTGACTTATTTGTTGATGCGGTGTCGAAGTCGGTGTGTTTCTCACATGTTATTGGTGAAGCTGTATACACGCCAATTCCTGGGCGTGGTGACAGAATTACCCTTCTTGGGTGTATCCGGGCAGATGGTCATCAACTTGATCCGTTGATTATCACAAGTCGAGTGACACTAAACCAGGACGTCCTTGCCT